CGATTTTACAGAAAGCTCTACAAATCTTTCAGACTTGGAATGTTTTTAATGTAATACTATCATTGCTGTGTCAATGGCACTTTCTATCATTAATTGAAACTATGTTCAGAAATGTCTTGTATGACACCACAATGACGTTCTGATCTTTTTGTGAAGCACATTTTCCTAAAAAGTCCACGAACAGATGTAACGTAATATGGTTTTCAAACAGCGCTCAGCAGAGTTCCAGCCTTGTGAAAAGCCCCTCACGGACCACCATGAGGGCAAGGTGGAGGCGGAGGGGACAGCTGGCTGGGGACCCCCGTACCCCTTCACTCTGTAACTAGAGCAGCTATGCTTTCATCAGTGATATGCATTATTGTTCTGGCAATGCTGTTCGGAAAATTTTTTACTTAAAAACTAGTCTCACAGTTTAAAAATTCACTGTCTTATATGCTAAGTCCAATAATGTGATCTACATAAAATTCCAAACACACACAAAAATAGATTGTAAAATCTACATGCTTCAAGTAGGTAAATAAAAAGCCCAACTGGACGAACCTTGGGACTGTAACAGCTAAATTTAAAGCCAGGGTGACACGCTCGCAGAACTGGTGGTCTGAAGGTTGAATCTTGCTTCTTGCCTCTCTTTAAACAAAATTTTTGGTAGTGTGGGGAATTGAGCACAGGGCCTTGCTTATGCTAGCAATGCTTTCTATCAGTAAGCTCCATTTCGGGCTGCAGGTTGGCTTTAATGGCAATAAACCATGGCTTCTACTGAACACTAACTAACCCCAGCTGATTCTAACAAAGAGCAGAAGTTCTGACCAACAGTACAATGATGTGGCTATGGCTCTCAAAATATTAAAAACCCTGCAGTCCTTAAAGGATCAGGGTTGGCAGAGACTTAAAAACAAAAAGAAAACAAAAACAAAACCAAAAACAAAACCCAGCTCAATTACCAAGAACCTTGGGTCATTCTGTCTTTTTTCCCTGTTAAAAAGACTTCTGCTTTAAGCTGGTACAATAATATTCTGAGGCTCATTTCAAAAGTTACCATCTGTCCAAAAGTTTCTTCCAGACTCAGGCTGCGGGTTGTTCTTCTGGGCTCTGCCAGGTCTCCTCATGGAAGGAATTTGTTCAGAACTGGGCAACTGGAAGCCAAGGCCCAGTCTTCCTCGTTTGTGCCCATAGCCCTGATATCTAGCATATTTCAGTTAATTAAATAAGCAAATTAAAGAAAACCTGGCTTTAGGAATAAAGAAGAATAAATAAACAGGTTCTTGTTTGGAGTAGGCCAGTATGAAAGGGGCTCAAGAGCTTCACCTTCCTGGGTCTTTGATTTCTCAAGAAAAGTAAGATTGCCTGCATCATAAAGTAAAGATGAATTAGTTATCAATTCCCCATTTCATTTATTTTTAAAAAGAGGCGGTCTTAAGGGAGGTTTCTGTATTTGTAAACTAAAAAATACATATACTTTCAATGGATTTCCACAATTTACCTTTCAACGTAACTCATGATTGCCACCTTCTGGCAAAATGGTTGAATATCTGTTTCAGTTAAAAGCTGAAAGTCATAGGGGTTTTTTTTGTTGTTGTTTGTTTGTTTGTTTTTTTGGTACCGGGGATTGAACTCGGGTCCTTGCGCTTGCAAGGCAGGCCACCGAAACGCTGAGCTAAATCACCGGGCCCCAAGTCATAGATTTTTAATCACAGAGTAATAATGGTAGGCACGTTAACTATTCAGCTCCAGAATCCTCTGTACTGTGCCTCAATTTAATACGCTCATACTCCACTTTCAAATACACTTTTAGTGTCTCTTGGTGTATATTAATTCAGCATCATTACCATGGGGGAAAGGCTACATCATATTAAGGCTGTGTAAATTAGGAGACAGGAAGAAGAAAATCATTTTCAAACAGGATAATATTTTTAAAAGTTTTTTAAAAGAGTAAGAAAAGCAAAACATTAAAAATGAATATCAATGGCGTGCATTAAGACACATGACTGGTTAGAGAGATTAAAAGAGATTTATGCTCATCAGCTCAGAGTACTTTATTTTACCAGATGATGTTTCAAAGACACAAGTACATATAAATATGTTAAAAAGTGGAGGGAATAGAGAGAGATACTGAAATTCAATAAGTCAATCGATAATCTCTGTGTAAGTGTATACCTCTAAAATTGTGGGTAGGTTGCAAAGTACTATGTATGATATCACACATCTTCTTGGAACTAAGCAGAATGGAAACTTAAGTTCAGTGATAAGGAGAAGTTATCTATTTGAATCTACATATGGTATGTATGACCTCTACCTACCTATATATGTAGATTTCTCCCCTGCAGAAAATATCACAGATGCACAGTGTGAGGTTTATAACATAAAGTGAGAAACTTCTTCCCACAACATGATCACAATGTATCGAAGAGACAGGAAGATGGCAAATGAAGTTATACGTGACAACTACATGATAGACACTGGACAAAAACAGATATATGGACCTATGCTGAGGAAGACGGCCTCTGTAGCAAATGGTGCTGGGAAAACTGCTAGATACATGCAGAGGGTTGAATCTAGACTTATACCTCACACTTCGTAATAAACTAAAATAAAAATGGATTAAATATATAGATGTTAAAACAGAAACAATCTTCTGGAAGAAAAACTAGGTAAAACTTTTGAAGACAGGCATAGACAAGGACTTTCCAAACAACTCCACCTGCACAGGAAATAACATCAAGAATCAACAAATGGGATCATAACAAATTAAAAAGTTTCTGCACAGCAAAGGGGACAATCAACAACGTAAAGCTAAAACCTACAGAATGGGATTTTTTTTGCCAGCTACACCTTGGGCAGGTTATAATATCTAGAATATACAAAGAACAACAATAACAACAACAAAAATAGATGGATGCCCCAAAATAAAAGACCCAATCTAAAAATGGGAAATTCAGATGAAGAGACACCTCTCAGAAGAAGTACAAATGAACAATAAATATATGAAAAAGTGTTCAACACTTCTCACCATTAGAGAAATGCAAACTGAAACAACACAGAGATTCCAACTTGCTCTGGAAAAGACAGTTGTCATTAAGTAATCAAATACACAATAACAAATGCTGGTGAGTCTGCAGGGGAAAAGAATTCTACACTGTCGGTGAAAATATAAGCTAGCACAAACACTATGGGAATCAGTATGGAGATTCCTTAAAACTAGAAATTCCACATGATCCGGCTATTCTTCTAGGTATCTTCGCAAAAGAGTTAAGATCATTAATTACAGGGACACATGCATATTCACATTTACAGTACCACAGTTCATAATAGCTAAAGCTTGGAAGTGGCCTATATGTCCATCAACACATGAATGGATAAAGAAAATGTGATATTTATACACAGTGGAGTACGACACTGCCACAAAGAGTTTAAGTTTGAATCATTTGTAGAAAAGTGGATGCACCTTAAGGCCATAATGTTAAGTGAACTAAATCAGACAGGAAGCTTAAAAATCACAGTTTCTTTTATGTGAGAAACTCAAAGTATAAATAAAGAGGAAGGTAAAATATAGATAATAGGAAAGGGAGACAAGATCTTTTGCAAAAGGGAAGGGGTGTCTTGACATCAAGGGAGCAGGGAGGGAAAGAAAGGGAATGAAAAAGAATTAAGATGAGTTATATACATGGATTCACTCCCTATAGTGAGTGTAATCATTCTGTACCATAAACATGTACCAATAAAAACAAAATTAAAAAAATTAGATGATACAAAAAGCCCCTTGCAGCTAGATGCATATAAAGTATCACATAAAGGGGATGGCACACACAGAGCAGGAGGGGAAACAGTCCCTGGAGGGATCTGTGGTACTAGCTTCCTTTCAAGACAGGAGGTAGAGGTTTCCTAGCCAGAGGAAGCAGGAACAAATGTCAGTCTTCATCTGCCTGCAAGCAAGATCAGGTGAACTGTAGCTCATCTACTTATTTGATTGTACTCTGTACAAACACAAGTATACTTGTAGGAATTGGGTAACTGGGGAGTTACTCAATGGAAAGTTCAAGGTTAGAGAGAAGGCACTTGAATGCTTCTGAGCATGAACATTGTAATAAGAGAAGCCTGATCCACTCTCTTTTGAGCTGTGTTATCTTGGTCAAATTACTTAACTTCTTTGTTGCCTTATCTCCTTGTCTGTAATTAGGGATAATCCACACCATAAGGAGATTAATTTAGTTAATAGAGGATAGTGCTACACCTGACACACAGTAAGTACTGTAACAAAATGTTTGCCATTGTTAGTTAATGAAGCAAGATGTCTTGCTATTGCTACAGCACCAAACACAGTACATATGCCACTTGACGGCTGAACAGCCTTGGTTTCTTTATCTGTAAAATGAGGATATTTATAAAAATGGCAGAAATGACAGAGGGATGTGGTGGCATATACTTAACAGTTGCAGTAGTTGGGAGGCAGGAGGATTACGAATTCAAAGCTAGTCTAGACTACACAAGGACACCCTGTCTCAAAACACAAAATACAACGAGACAAAACAAAACAACATACACACACACATACACGAAACAGAAATGATGAGGGACAGTGCTATATCAGTATAATAAATACAATGGCTGAGCTACTCATTTCCATACTGATTATTATTAGTCCCAGAGTCACCCAAGCTGTACCATGCGTTGTTTCATATTACGTGTTGTATACCCACGTTAAGTCTAAGTGCACATGTGTTCCATGTTCACAGGAATGCAGAACCCACGGAATACACCAGCCAGACTGGCCAAACCATGATCCACAATCTTAGCATGAAGATCTGTACACAGATGCCTAATTCCAGAGACTTCAGCAACATGTTAACTCACATTAAGATTATTAATGTTTAGGCAACCAGAGTTGAATCAATAGTAAAAATTGTGTCAAGATAGTTTTCTTTTTACTCCATGAGTCCCTTGAGCAAAGACTGGACCTTTGTGGAGACCACACTATCTGCAGATCAGAATAGCTGGCCACGTACCTTTTCAATGAGCTCATAGCTCTCCTCGAGTTTGAGGAGCCTGTTCTGCACAGATGTGGATGCTCGCTGGTAGACAGCTCGCCACTCCTGGAAGTCGCTCTCAGAAATCTCAGCCACAGCAAAACATAATGTCCTCAAACCTGCAAAATGCAGCACATATCTCTCAACATATCAAAGGTTTTATTCATAAGTCTGATGTTTCTATTATTTAGTTAACAAAAAGTCATCTTGAAAAGACTAATTCAATTTAAATACTCTGTTCAAGTCCAATTCAATTACAACAAAATTTTAGTATAAAATATCTATTAGTGCTCCCCTCGCTTTTAAAATTGGCACTTTGCTTCTAATTCTCAGTTCTTTCAACCCATTCCTGTACCCACTTAGTGATTTTGCAAAAATATTAATCTTACCAAGTGTTTCTTTTGCTTACATCTTCCAACTGTTCCCCAGGATGAGATCCAAAACCCCAAAGTATGGCTGAAACGTAGATCAACCTCAGAATGGCAAGGCATGGTCATCTTTTTCCACTCCCTTTTACTGTTTGCCTTGTAGCTACTGTAAAACTAGGTACTTAAAATTATCTTTTTTATTTGGTACTGGGGATCGAACTCAGGACATTGCACTTGTGAGGGAGGTGGCAGAATCACTGAGCTAAATCCTCATCTAAAATCATCTTTTTGAAGTACCGTCCTCTTAATCAGACTCTACAGATAAAACTCCCCCAAATATTCCTGTGTGAGTACAGTGTTTGACATGGTTTTTCTTGTGGGTCTCCTCTATTAAATTAAAGCTCCTGAAATTAGGGACACAGAGTTCTCCTTATTATTATAAATTTGTGGTAAAAAGTTAAATATAGTCAAAAGATAGCAGTAGAAAAGAGTAGTCCTCAATCATTCTGTGGGAAAAGTGTCAAAGCTGATCTCTGAGGTGACCTAACCCCTCACCCCCACGTGCTCAATGCTCATAAGTTTTGTAATTCCCTTCATTCTCAGCCAGAAAAAGCAGCTGGGTTGGAAGAAGGAAGAGGCAGAAGCATTTGTTAGCCATGCAAGGAAGTGGTTCCCAAGAAAACAATACCCTCAGGCAAAATCATTTAACACTTATTATGACCAGGACCAGACACTAAGCCTTGTGATCTCAAATCAAATAAAATAATGTTCAGGGGAATATGTCAGGAGCAAGAAGCAAAGACAGGACATAAATACCCAGGGAATTCCATCTTCCATGAAATGCACAGGGTTCTCTATTGCTGGATCACTGAGAGTGGGACTTGCATCTGTGGCCATGTTAGGACATATCTTTCTCTTTCAGAAACCTGACTGGAAAACTTATTTGAGGGTAGCCATACAGTAGAAGGGTCTTTTAGCCCATGCTAAAAAAAATGGAGTGAAGACATGGGCCAAGAATCTAAAATGGAATTAGATTTACCAATCAAATCTAAAAGCCAGAATATCTGTAACATCACAAGCAGGAAGGAGGAAGATGCTCCAAGCTTCTTTCTCCTTAGTCGATCTAGATCAGACCAGGCCAAACTGGACCAGACCAAACCATGTCCTCCTGTGTGATGAGCAGGCCACCTTCCAAGCCCACCAGAGGGAGCTGAACCCTGTATACTGGTATATTCTTACACTTTGGTGAACTAGGAGAAAGGTCTTTGTGTCCCTGCTCTTCAAAACCCCAACCCCTTTTAATTTCTATCTGGCATGGTGGTTTTTGTTTGTTTGTTTGTTTGGTTTATCTGTTTTTTAATTCCTATCTTTTAAAACCTGGGTTCATAAGAAAAAAAAAAGATTTGATCAGGGGTCAGGTCAGGCTTGGTGCCATGAGCTACTGTTCTGGCAGAAACAGGTAAAAATTGAGATGGGAGATTCAAATACACCTATCACCACTGTTGTCAAGGTCAGAGATAAAACTAAAACTTCTTGTAGTAGCTGACCCTCATGTCTAACAGCCCTCACTTCCTTTATTTTTATCTACATCATCTCCCTGGACTGGATACTGTGTGACTTACACAGCCCTGCAGGACAGGGCTAAACTTGTTCACCACAGACGGGGAGGCCACAGAGCCTGGCACATGGTAGGGGTTCAATAAAACATGTTGAGTTGTAACTAAATTTAATGTCTGTTTTAATAGTCATATAGGTTTAATTATTTCCTCTTATTCAGTTTAGAATACAACCTCAGTTCTTTGACTCTTGTTTCTTTTTTTTCTCATTGAGTTTATTGGTATACTGTAGGTATATAGTACAGTTATATTCATCATTGGGACCTTTACGTGACAGGTCTTGATTCTCATTTTTTCCCTTATCCCTGCCTCCCTTCATCCGCTCCTCCCTTCCCTATTTACAAAAACTTTATTTCCATTTTCTCATATTTTTTTCTTTTCCCTTATTTTCTTTCCCCTACCCCTCCCACTTCCCCTATACCTTTAGCCCTTTTCTTCCTATTTCACATTGTCAATTATACCACTAGGATCTTATTTACAATTATAGTTTTTCACACTAGAGAAACTTTAGTATTTATACATGTGTGACTTATTTATTTCACTTAAGAGTATAACCTTTTTTTTTTTGGTACCGGGGATGGAACTCGGGTCCTTGAGCTTGCAAGGCAGGCACCGAGACCACTGAGTTAAATCACCAGCCCAAGAGTATAACTTCAATATGCATGCATTTTCCGATGGATCACTCTAATTTCTCATTCTTTATGGCTGAGTAGTATTCCTCTTGTTTCTTTTCCTAACTTGAGATATAAGGAAAATCCATTCTTAATAGCATATGTGCAGACCCTAGCATATAGAACACAGAGGCTGACACTGTCAATGTTTTAATAAATACAGTTTTAAGAGAGTAAAATAAAACTACTGTGTGGGAATAGGACATACTAAAATCCAACTTATTAATAACACACTTATTGATATCTTACTTCAGGAATCTCTAAAACAGGAACAGTAGTTCTGTAAGGTACCAAAAAGATATAATTTCTTTGTATCTTAATTATGCTTTATTCCGATAGAATACTCACCTTCTGTAGCAAATTGTTCCAAATGTTTTAGGGTAATGTCTTTGTATTTTGAAGTCTCTGCAAGTCGTTCATATATCACAGTATCCTGGAAAGCAAGTATCATGTCATTAATTAAGCCTTTTGAGTTTACTTATGTTGGTATCAGCAATATTAGTACAAATCAGTGTAAAAAGAACCAATCATTTTTAGTGTTCTTTTAGAGCCCAAACTATTTTCAATGATGGTAACGCTGATTCCCTAAAGACACAGAGAAATACAGCTGGGCCACTGTATTACAGGTTCCACATCTGTGGAGTCAAAAAACCACAAACAGAAAATCAAGTCAGGCTTCTGATGGTTGTGTTGGTGCTGAAAATGTACAGACTTTTCCCCTTGCTATTATTCCCTAAATAATACAACTGTGTAATTCTTATTTAAAAGGCACTTACATCATGTTAGGTATTAAAATGATCTAGCAATAAAATGGGGGGATACGTGTATCTATATTAAGCACTGTGTCCTTTTACATAGGGGCTTCGGCAATCTCGGAATTTGGTATCTGGGGGGGACGTCCTGGAAGAAATCGCCTGTGGACATCAAAGAGCAGGTTCTAGTCCTGTGTTTTCATCTTCTTTTGGAAGATGTATCTAGTTACGCCAATGTTTACAACCTCTTGTTCCACCAACATTTCACTTTCTGAATACTCCAAGAGTTCCCTTCACCCCTGAAGATTCTGCAGAACTCTGTAGAGTGTGGAAAATGCTGGACGGAACCAAGCTCAGAAGCCTGTCCCACTGCAACACTTCTGAGGGCCTCCCAGGGGATGTGTCCCAAACTCATTCGATCACAGGGCTTTTCAGAGACTAGAGGACCTTTATGGTATTGGTGATGACAGAAGAACAAACTTTAAGACCACCGAGAGGGTCAGGGGGTACAGTGAGAGAACCTTGGACTAACCAGCAACTAACTTAAATAGCTGAACATTTCTAATTGTGCTGCTACAGCTTTAAGACTATTTGCTTAATTTGCAAAATAAAGTTATAGGGTTATTTTTAAATCCCCCCTTTGGCTTTAGTTTTAAGCACCATTTATTTTTCTCTACTTCTTGCTACTTTATAAATTGCCTATTGTTCTCTTAGTTACTCTCTGGCTTTGGTTTAATGTTTTTAAGAATTTTAGTATTAAGCCTTCACAGTTTTATTATACCAGGAAAAAATAAATCATTTACCTGCAATTACTTTCTCAGTAGTATTACCCATTTTGGGGTCTCCCATCTCAGGGCTGAGATTTCAAAACAAGACTAATGGAGTATGATTTAGAACCCTTGAGGGAAACAGAACTTAGTGACCTCAGAACAGATGGAATATTCCAGGCCCCAATTATGAATTTTGTTTCATTTTTCAGTGGTGGAATGGGAATGGGGGTAAAGCAAAAGGAAATGATAATTTCCCCTTATGGCTCCTTCCTGGAAAGGAAAGGTATAACTTATAGTTCTTTTCCCAGAGGCTAATGAATTTTTCAATGATATTAATATAGGCCATAAGAAAATCTTTTAAAAATTAAAATCAGAAAAACAGAAGCTATTAAGTAACAAAGTTAGGAGATTAAATACTGCAGTGTATCCAAACATTTTAGTGGAATAAAATGACGCTTAGAATAGAAAAAAAAATTAATTTTCTACCTTCTTCGTAGAATTGAAAAAAACAAAGGACAGAAGGTGATGCATTAAACATGCATTAAAATATGCTTTATGTTTTTAACTGACAGTCACAATTGGCTGGCCATGTTTTGGCATAAGAAATAAGCATTCAGTTCTTTCAGCCACGTAACACTCCTTTATTCAGAGGGCTACATCAAGTCTGTGGTGCATGCTAGGAGCTAACAAAGGTTTCTTCCCAGACACTAAAGCATGTACTCGCCAGAGGATCAGGCTTTAGTACCTCCTAAGTCTGTGGCTGAGGAAAATCCTCACTGGATTTAGTTATCTTATGACCTGACCCCCATTAAGGTAAAAGTAAATCATGAGGCTTCTGCACAGCACAAAGTAATCACTGTGTAAATAGTCTAGGTCTTTGAGGAAAGCTAAATTCATGATTAAAATTCCATCTTCAGTGGATTTTTATTCAAAAAGTTGCTGTTTACCTATTAGTCTTTTAGAATAAAGTTTAAACATTTAAGTTTAAACTCTGTCCTCAGAGTGCATATTCAAGATTATTTGTTAAAAGGTTAAAATATTTAATGCAATCTTCAATCATCTCGAAATGTCACTTATATGAAATACTGCAATAATCAATACTGCTAAAGAAAGTACCATAAAATGCAGGTGTCAACAAGAAGGAAGCAGAGGTAAGAAACGAATCAGTCTAATATACAACAAGTCATACTAAAATTATCTAGATAATCTTACTATTGTGGAAAATGGAATCATTTCTGTTATGCTCCACTAAAATGGAGTGGAACTGCAGAAGTAAAAACAACACAGGTCACAGATACTCGCTCCAGCAACTTTCTCTTAAAACCAATCCACTGAAACCACCTGACCTAACTTTAAGACTACAGTATTTTACTCAGCAATCGACAATGGAGCAGCTGGCTGTGTCTTGCAATTGAGCTTTGCATAGTCACCTGGTGTCACATGCCAATCAGAGCTTCTGCAATCCACTGCAAGTTTCAATGAAACTTTTTTTATCCAAATAACTTGTATAGGTTTCTCTAGCTGTGTAAGACTCCACCCATCCATTTTCTGGACATGCCAGAGGCCACTGTGACTTCTGCATGGATGCCTCCAACTGCATTTCTATTCTTGGGTTCTACTGCCAAGTAAAAGTTCTTTCTGGAGATTTATCCCTGCAACTCTGTTTTATTTGGACATGTTGAATGAGCAAACTGACAGTAAGGACTACAATCTACTACGATCTTGTCGTCAAGTTAAACAGTAACGTGAGACTGACCTGACAGAAGAAGCTTGGCCCCTCTGACCTGAGTGTTCGCCAAAGACACAGAGACACATCCATATTTAAATATACACAACCTTTGTGCTTATGTGTGCCATTCATAACCATCTGTACTTTGTCTCTGCTGTGCTAATGAATTATTGAAAGGAACTTATTTCAAATGGGTCTTTTTGTGTATGGCAAAGAATTTTACTTAAGGGATCTTTATTCTGAAATTTCAGCCACTTTATGGTCACTACAGTATTTAATTTATTAGTCAAATTTCTAATTTTTCTCTATTGTATAAGTTTTTCAGTAGAATTCTTGCTTGACTAATTAAAATTTTATTTGAGTAAATGAAACTTTTGCTAAGTTTGCTATGACAGATAAATTGCACATCGTGTACTCCTTTTGTATATTTAAAAATTAACAAAATCATTTCATTACAGAAATTCTAGAAAAGCAAGTCATCCATAAACAAAGACACATGCATACACAAGGAGCTGCTATGTCTTACAGCTACTTTCTCCCACCCTTCCAACTGTGTCCAACCTGAGGTTCATTCCATTCACTGGGTTTTTAAAATTATTCATGACTTTAAATTTACCTTGCATAGAACTCCATTTTTCCTCCTATTTTCTGTTTTTTTTTTTTTATTGAAAATAGGTGGAATTCTTACCTTAGAGCTTTAAGTGTCCCTTGTCATCACACTGGTCTAATGAATGATTTCGTGTTCTAGCTGTTGATGGTGCTCAGTATGTCCTTTAGCATAAGAGTTCCTCATGTGCTTCTGAGCCTTACTTCTGCTGTCCCTCTTTGCATGTGCACCAACCCAGTGGTTTCGTACAGCCCAGGCAGAAGCCAGCATGAGCTTTCTTTAGCCTTTCCTCATGACTGTCCCTGGCAGCCCCTCACTGTCCCTGGCATCAGAACAGGGAGGCTGGCTCCCATCTCATTTTACACCAGTGTTTGCCCTCTGGCCCCACAGAAGCCACACTTTAACCACTGCTTCTTGATTTCAGTCCCAGAGCTTAGGACTCCCACCCAGGTCAAGACTTCATTTCAATAAAACACTTTAATTTTCTATTTCTATTTTGGTCTACAAAGATATTTATCTTGTTTTGAGCTTAGGTTTATCAATTTTCTCTTTATACTAAAAATATCCATCATTGGTATAGCTTTGGAATACAGGGGATATATTACAGTAGGAACATACCTCACTATCTTGACTGGAATGTGTTCTTTTTTGTAGGGGAAGGAAATGTTTGGAATCTCTTCTTTAACGTTTTTATGAGTGCATGTTTATATTATATTATCCTGCCATTCATGGCAGAGAGTTGGTACATGTACATAACACATCTTAACTCTTTTTATATCCTGTTCCCCTCATCTGATTCTATCAATGAACCCTGTCTACCTAGATTTTTTTGTAGTTCCTGTTACCTGTTGGCTCTTCACTCTAGCAGGCTCCCTCCTGGCTCTACTTTTTCCTTTTAGCTCTCCTCTCATTTAAGGTAGTATTTTCTTTAAACAAGATCTTATCAATCCCTGCTTTTAGTTTCTAGCCACACTTATTAAGTCCTACTACTGTATCTGGACCCCAAACTTCTTCCCCCATAAAACTGAGGTATCTCTGCCCTACAGCCTGAATGTAGCTCCCAATTCTCTGCCATGCAAACTGATTTTACCTACTTCAGTCCACTCTATAAGCCAAGAAGCAATCCTACAGTGACCCTAGATAATCCTTTCCCTCAGCACCCACAGGCCATCAGTGAGTAAGTCCTAAATCTTCCTCCTCTATCTTCTCTGTAAAGGTCTGTTTCATCCTTATCAGCTCGTGGCTGGTCTGTCATCAGTGGCCTCAACTAGAGCTGTGTGTGCAGGTTTTCAGTCTTAAATCACCTTCCCAAATAGCAACGGAATGATCGAGAAACAAGTACAATTTCTTGAGCAAGGAAAAAAAGTGACCCACCCCACACTCACCTTTTTACCACACATTCAGCTATTCCCTTTCAAATTACAAATAATTCTCACACATTGCTTGCTGTTTTACATGTTTATGCCTTTTTACTACTTGACCATACTTCACAACCAATTCAGGAGGGATGGAAAACAATGCATTAAGCAAGTTAATATACACATACTATCTTTGTGATCTTTAACGAGAAGTCCAATGGTTTTGGTTTTCATTTAATGCTTCAACTTTCCAACGTTTTTAGGTAGAAGACTGTTGAAAACTAAGAATAGAAGGATGTGATTTGGGTGCTGTAGACCAGGCATATATCAACATTTAAAGTGGGAGTTCTTTTCATTGTGTATGTTACCACTGGGATATGGAGGAGCTTTACAGTGCACCTTACTATTTATTATATCCTAATGTTCTCTTTACACGCATGTCCTTGGCTAGTCTTAAGATCCTGATGCATTGTAGGCTTTGACTTCATATCTCCAAAGTCCAGTTCAGGTTTGGTGTTAGAATGTTCTCAATGAATAAATGTTAGGTGTTTAAATCAATGGGAATATAAAACCAAAGGAATCCTAAAACTAAATTCATGAGACATCATGCGATAATTCTACCAAAATGCTTTAAAACCAAGGCATCTGAAAATTGCATTTCAATGCTTTAAAACCAAGGCATTTCACACTTTAAACAGAAATTTAAATAAAAGACTTGGGCTTCTTAAGTTCAGTTTCCAAATTTCCATGGTATAAAGCAAAGTTGTTTATTCTAATTTAAAATTGCAAAGCTCTAAGCTGGGAAATTTATAAAATAGGTACCAGGAAAGGACAGTTCAAAAGGAAAACACTGATCTTAGTAACAGAAAAGGCCCTAGTCAGTATGTTTTTCATTTTTCCATAAGTATAAACATATTTTAACTAGGAAAATTCAGTTGGAACACACATTACTGTTTCTGTCAATATAATCTGTTAATACTCCAAGGTCAACCAATGGCCAGAAATTGTTATAATTAAAATAAAGACAAACAATAATCAATAATTGCAATAATTATGATCCAATTTCCCCATTTCTATGGTCTTTAAATAATTAAAGTTTTAATTACTAAATTCTAATAAAATTAAAAAAAATTTTTGTATTGTTTGTGAACACAGTTCATATAAGCCTCAAATATTCCATATAAAATTGAATTATAAAAATGACCTAGGCCAATCTTTTTAAACATACCAAATTTACTCTGAAGGAATTCCACATTTCACCAGAAGAAGCTGAACACTGTTACTATAAAACACCAACAAAAGTGGATGTCAGCAACTTCATGTTAAGCATGTGTGTTGCATTTCCATAGCAGAATGCCTAACATGTATTATAATAAAGCATCATAAATCTAAATAGTAAAAGACAAAAATAAAAACTTACAGCTCCTTTGCAGTAAAGTCGTAACTTCCCGGATGGAGTACGAACAATCACTGACATTCTTTTTCTAGCACTGAAAGAAAGAGGTTTTCCACAATGTGTCATCATACTGCCTCACATATTTTAATACTCATAGTAAAAAAATAAACCAAAATATGAGCCCTATCCTCCCACATACACAAACTGTCCCCTGGGTGAATAGTTGGGTACCCTTGAAGTTACATTATGGTTTTTAACCCACCAGGGTACCATCTGCTGTCCTAGAGGAATAATTTACAAAATGGTTCCCTGGAAATCCACAAGAGTTAATACCCACCAGAGCAGAGCAGAGTCTGGCTCCATGTTTTCAGAGGTATTAAAAATGAATTACAAGTTACATCAATTTTAAACATAAAATCACATAATGGCAAACACTAGTACAGTGAAAGACAATTTAGGCATTCACAACTATTGTTTTTCAAAGATTACATCAGTTTTCTCCTATCTGAGAGGAATACATTACAAGACCCCCCAGTGGATGCCTGAAACAAGAGACAGCACCGAACCCTACATGTCCTATATTTTTTCCTCTACATATAGAACCATGACAGTTTAATTTATAAACTGGATACAGTAAGACATTAACAATGGCTAATAATAATAATACAGAACAATTACAACAATATATTATGGTAAAACTTATATACAGCTTTCAAATTGTTTTTCTCCAAAATTTCCATTTAATAATTTTGGAGTGCAGTGGACCACAGGGACTTGCAAGTATGGAAACTGAAATCTCAGAAAAGGTGGGATGACAGTACTTTAGAAATACATTTAATTGGGTCCCCTTTGTTATGACACATGACATTACTCTAATTCAGCCCTTCTTGAATCATGCCTTTGTTTCTTTTTTTTTTGAGACAGGGTCTCACTGTGCAGTTGAGATTGACCTGGAACTCACTATGTAGTCCAAGCTGGTCTCGAACTCACAGTGATCCTCCTGCCTCAGCCTCCCGAGTGCTGGGATTCTAGGCATGTGCCACCATGCCCAGTGATTTATGCCTTTCTTAATCAGCTTTGGATTCAATTTGGGAAGTTCATCAACTTCCTTGCTCCTTTCTTCTCTTGGCCAAATTCCCAAGGGCTTTTGGGAATCCCTTTTGGTGGTAGAGTAGAGAAGTCAGGGAGATTAGTAAAGACAGGATCTCTTAATACCAATGCTCCACACTGCACACCAACCTTCTGTATTTCTCTTAAGAATCTTGCTCTATTAACTTCTGCAAAACCACATAGCACACTTCTTCTACTTTTCAAGTCTTCCATGCTTCTTCCTCAACCAGACTCTGAATTTTGGGATTAACTGGGATGGAGGCCTTAGACACGAAATCTGCTTTCTTTCTGTCATTAAAACCTCCATATCCATCTATGTATGCACCATTTCCTTTAACTTTTTAAAGTGTGAAGGAAATATTTCTCCCCTTATCAGAGACCTTCCTTCCATGTGTCTGTGAACCTTTTCCACATAAATCTCGGGCCTAATCAGTAGAATTGTTTATAGATCATGAGTTGGTATAGTTTTGGATCTTAACTGTCCAACACATACGTCTTTGAAGCTTTGTCTGCAGGGAGGTATGAGGGAAATGTTACTTAAGAGGAGGGATCCAGTGGGATGTCTTAGTTTGCTGAGGTTGTGCTCTGAAGAGCCTCTTTCTTTCAATACCTGGGCAAAGGGAGTTCTTCTGTGCTTTCCACTCCTGCTACGATGTGCTGCCTTACCAGAGGCCCAAAGCAACCAGGGTAGCTGATCATGACATGGACCCTCCAAAATTGTAAGCAAAAATAAACCTTTCTCCCTATAAACTCAGGTGTTCATTACAGTACAGTATCAGGAAGCTAACACACCAACCATCAGACTCCTTGCTTTATACTCTAGACTTGTGAGTCAGATGCTTATATTTCCAAAAGATTTTTTAACTGCCACCAGAAATTAGGAACTACAATGCTCTGAAAAAAGGTGTTTATGATTTACACAGTTATGATAATTAAAAATGTACTAAATATTTTAATGTAATATCTTTCCTAAATTCAGTTAAATAAAAACAAAGCATATTCCAGTTATTTAAAAGGGAAAAAGTAAAGCTGATGGAAATTTATCATATCCAGACAAATCAGAGTAGATTATTTTACCTGGTGAACTCCAGGACATTGAGTAATTCATATCTTTCTTCCTGGCCCAGCTAGGAAAGAAAAGTACAAATGATTATATAGAGTTAGAAATGTCTTAGGCTCCTCAGAAATGAACATTGATCATTTATTTTTACAATAAAAGTGTCAACACAAACAACTGTTTTCTTCTAAAATACTGAAGGCAACTTGGTGACTTTCAGGAAAATAAAACAGGACCTAATCATAAGAAATCTCAAGCACCACAGAAACAGATCTTAGAATAGTAGTCAGACAGGAGGAAAGAGTAGCCCACTGAGACTATCTGGTGTGATGCTACAGTAAAACTGCACTAAGAAACTACGGGCAACAATTAGTCATGGAAAGAAAACAAAACAACTTTTGAAAAGGCAAGGGAGTTATCGTTAAAGGGAAAAATATTTTTAGGAAATAATTTTGTGTTAAGAAACATGAAACTAAAAAAAGAAATATTCTGAATACAACAGTGTTAGCCACGTACAGGTATACAAGACACAGCAAATAATTTAAAAATAAGATATAATTTGTACTTAATCAAATACATATAGATCTTCAATGTATAGCTCAATAAGAATCGTATTATTTGACAAATGCAGTCTATTGAAACACCACCTGATCAAGATTCAGAACATTCCCACATCCCACAAATTCCCCTGTGCTGGTTTCCAATCAGTCTCCTCCCTGCATTAAGGCAACCACTGTCATGAATTGTTATCATAAATCCCTGTTAGCTGATATCAAGCTAAATAGAAATGAAATTAGAAACCCATTTTATGGCCCCCCCTTCTGTCTCTCTTAGAGAGAAGCTGTCTTTTTCTCAATATTTTTTTCTAATTCTTTAGAAAACAAAAAAAGAAATAAATGAAATTAGAAAGGATGTACTTCTTTGTGTCTGGTATTTTATTTCTGGTTGAATATGATATTTTTGAGAATCATCTATTCTGTTGATGAATCAATAACTCATTCCTTCTTATTGTTTAGATATTCCCATTGCAGGAACATTTCACAATTTGTTTATTCTCCTATTGATGAACATTTGGTTTGTTTCCAGTTTTTGGCTATTGTGAATAAACCACCTAAGAAGATTCCATTTTGTTTTGGTGAACATAAACGTTCATTATTCCTATGTAATGGACTATAATTGCAGAGTCAGGTGTAAATTTACCTTTATTAGAAAACTCTTAATTAAAAGGTTTTCCAGAGAGATTATAGCACTTTACACATCTATTAGCAATACTGGCTTGAATATTTGATTATTCTCATTAACATTTGGTGTGGTTGATATTTTAAATTTTAGCCTTCTAGGTGGGTATGTGGTGCTATGTCATTGTAGTTTTATATTTTCTAGGGGACTAATAATGGTTTTTCTTGTGTGTATTGGCCAACTAGATGTCATTTTTTGTGATATATATATATATGATCAAGTCTGTCCATTTAAAAAATTTTCCCTGAATACTTACTTCATCCAAAATTGTAATAATCATAATAAAGATGGAAATATGGAGAAGAGTAAGCAAAAGGCTGACAATAAAAATAAGTCCTCATTTAGAAGAATAGAACAGAAAGTCATACAGAACGGAAAAACACGATCAAACGTTGCGGAACTGATATATAATATCAAACTTTAGTATCAATCACATTTTTAATCACGTTTTTTTTAAAGTATGACATGTATAAATGTGTAAAGAAATGGAAAAAAAGAGAATAGACAGTGGTTGCTTTTGGAGTGGGAAACATCTGCTTTATTATGAGGCTTTTGTTATTGCATTATCTTTGAATTTAAGCACATATGTTACCTTGGCTAAAAAGAAGCTTATAAATAACTTACTGAATCTATAATGACCGAGTCCGGTGTTCTTCCAGTGAAAACAAAATTCAGCTGCTTGGCTGCTCTGACCAGTGCTCCCTCATCTGTTTCAAAGGAAGAGGCAAAAGCAAATATGATGTAAAAAAGTTACCTCAAATATGAGAGAAGCCAGGGATTTAGCTCAGTGGTTCCACCACCTGCCTCGCAAGGCAAGGACCTGAGTTCGATCCCCGGTACCAAGAAAAAGAGAGCGAGAGAGCGAGAGCGAGAGTGAGAGAGAGAGAGAGAGAGAGGAGAGAGAGCGAGAGAAATATATGCACATAAAACAGTTTTCTGTTTAATTAAAATTCTTTTCATTCTGGAGTCTATGGCTGAAATCTGTTTCATTTCCAATTAATTACATGACAAGGTTAGAGGACCAAGAAGAACAACGAGTACTTGAGACACACCTGGGTCCCAACATTTTGTTTCTGAATATTAAATCTCACTGTTAGTCACATATACACCCTTACTAGAAGGATAATTTAAGCAAATTCTTTATACTTACAGACAGATATTTAAAGACAGACACTTAAGACAAATATTTAAGGTTAAACATCTTTCTATCTGACTTCTGATGAAGGAATATGTCATTTATAAAGGAAAAGCATATCCATGTTCTTAGGCAAAACGTAAGATTCAAAAAAACAAAGTGAAGAGTGTTTTTTTTTTTTTGGTACTGGGGATCGAACCTAGGTCCTTATGCTTGCGAGGCAGGAGCCGGAACCACTGAGCCAAATCCCCAGCCCCTAGAAAACCTTTCTTGAAATGAATAGCACAAAAATGTCTTCTTAAGTTTTATCCTTTTTCATTTTAATATGTTGAATAAAGAAAAATTAACATTAATATTTGCGGATTCAATTTAAATTGATTGAAGGGAATTAATGTTTTATTAGCTATTATTTATTAACTACTTTCACCACTGAGTTATAAAATATTTTCAATACTATGACAGGATGTGGGATAAAAATATTCACATAGATTTTATTTTAACCATATGAGATGTACTATTTCTTTCCCCTTTTAGCAGTTTGGCACAAATCACAGGCACTGTGAATACAATTTGAAAATAGCAAAAGTTCTTCAAAATATGGTCTTTTTTTCCCTAAAATTTTACAATTATTAGATTGACTTACCTAATTTTATACTGAAAATGTCTAAAATTAAGCCTAAATATTCAATATTGAAAACTGTGCTACTATTTTATAGAATTCCTTTAAATGTATGAAACTTACCAAACCCAGACAAAAACAAAACAAGATCGCTGTCATTTTCAGAAAAGGAGAGCAGTATTTGAGTTCTTTAGCCGAATACATCACTATTATTAGGTAGGGAATCTACTTATTGTCCCAAAGCAATTTATGAGTAATTGTTTATTTCTAGTTATTTACAAAAGGGGAAATTATTATGTGCATATATAAACTTTTTATTCGCATGATTTTTTAATTCCAATTCCCACATAATTCATGTTGTATACCCCAAATCATATGAAGTTATATATTTGAACACATACATTGTTCATCTGAAAACCATAGTTCCTCTAATTAGTAAGTGAAAATGTTTATTTAAAATGCATAATTTGGTTATCTTTTTAAAATTAAATTTATTTGTATCCACACATGCCAAAGTTTTGGAACCATTTTCTATAGAAAAGTGTTTTATAACTGCTTCATTTTTACCTGGAGATGCAGCCTGATAAATGATTTTCTCCCCTTCTCGCTCTGGTACTGCAGTGTGGCAGACTGCCATCATCGTAAGAAATTCACAAATGATAGGCGCAGTTGGCTGTGAGAAATAGACACATAACTCAGCCTTTTTCTTTTAAACTTTTCGACGCTAATGACAGTAATGTGACTCTACATCTGACTGTTAAAAACACAACTGTCAAACACTGGGGCCTGAGATTATGACCAGGTAGAAGCAAATGCACACTTTTTTCAACTCCATTCATTCTCGCACTTCTTCATTCACTTTCTCAACATTTATAAGGACAAGTTCGTGTTGTTATAGGAATAGTATGGTGAAAAAAAAAGATGAATTCTGTCTTTGGAGGACAGGAAATTCACTTATCCAGTTGTAATTCCTGATCAGATTTAAAGTTCAGGCATTTAATCTTACAGTGGGTTGGGGTGACAAGGACAGGGGATTTCTCTGTAATGCCTTTCCTGCCCTCTCCAAATACAAAAACCTTTACCCGATTCAGGTCTTACTAAACAAAAAACCGAGCTACTCCCATGTACAAATAATGGACTCTGGTGGCCTAAGAAAACTGAAAAGTGGATTGATTCTTTTGCAAGGAGCTAAGCATGGATAGGAGACAGATAGATATTTAAAGTTAAACATCTTCCTATCTGGCTTCTGATGAAGGAACATATCATTCAAATTTGTAAAGGAAAAATAGATCTCTACGTTAGTGGGCAAAAAAATAAGAATCCGAAAACAAAGTGAAGAGATTGGAAAGGTAAATCAGAACATTACTTGAAAAATACTGTGTTCAGTCTAAACAGCAGACAAAACAGTCGTGGTCCCTGGCACGTGACACTTAGACTTGGGGAAGAGATGGAATATGAACGTACAAGTATGGATGGTGTGCTGAGAACTCCAAAGACAATGTGCAAATATGAAAGGTGACTGGGGAGAGCGATTATTCTCAAGATAAGGAGATATTTCTATTTAAGTGGATGAGGGCTTAGCATCACGAAGAACTGAGAGAAGTGATTTCCACCAGGGAGGAGTGGCACATGTCTGAAATGGCCCAAGAGAGGAAAGGATCAAAGTATGAGAAAACAGAAAAAGGACACTGTGGCCTCAGGAGAAAGAAAGGAAAAGTAGCTCAAAAGGAAGCCAGTGCCTCAGGCAGGGGCCAGGTGACATAACTCTGTGAATGAAGAGAGATGCCGGAGAGTGGCTTTGAATAGAAATGGGGCAGGACTTGATTTCCATGGCATCATTCCATCTGACACATGCAACAGTGACTGCAGGGGGACGAGAAGGAAACAAGGACACGGGTCGGGTCATGGCAGCAGCCCACAGCTGGAACACCGGCGCACCGGACAGGAGCGAAATGAAGCAGATGCTTGGCGCATATTCTAGAAGTCAGCACAGATAAGGGCTTGGAGTGCCACGGGAGGTCTGACATAGACCGAGGAGGAGGCATACAGGGCAAGCCCTGAGTTCACAGAAAGAGTAACAAAACAGGTGACGGAGCAATTTACTGGAGCTGAGAAAACAACAGGGAAGAAAGTTGCGAGCTCCACATTTTGTAGGTCCTGATGCAAGTATTTTGTTGAAGATCATCTTAAGGGAAACAAACAAACAAACAAAAGCAAAACAACAACAACAAAAAATACATATAAAGGAACTCATGTGAACACACTGCTAGCTAGAGTCCTACCCAAAGGCAGAGGTGTTAGATCCATCCAGGCTACAGCAGAAGTGTTTCTGGGTAGCAATCATAACTTCAACTTTTGACCTACCGAATTTGAGCAACTGTAAGAAAATACTTAAATTCCAAGAGACCTCGTAATTTAATCTGCTGGAACCCTAGTAAGTGTCACTGGCTTCATAACTCTGTCAGTTCACACTGGGTGGAAGATGTCTGGCATTCCTACTGTAGATTTAGCATTGGTTTTATGATATTGAGCAAGTAACTCCACTTTCATAGTAATTTCAATTTTTTTAGGACTCTCAGCATTAATGAAATTACTACTTTCCTACACAAGAAAATACATTTTATAAATTAACAGTGAGTTGTTTCATATGAGTTCCACAATTATGTAAAATTAAACATTGTGAAGTGATAGAATAAATGATATCAAAACTAAATTTCCAATTACTATGAATTCATGTTGGCCTTGTAAAAGGGATTTAGAAAAGATTATGATATTTATTAAAAATGATTATGGAGTAAAAAGTATATGCATACATACATATATATACCCAAAAGACAAATAAGATAGTTGAGAAACACTAGTTTTTGCTCATTAAAGAAAAGATAATGATTTATATCACTTACATGATTATTCTGGAGATTTTCCAGCAATGATGGGTCATTAAATGTTTTTTCATCTCCAAACTGTGAATTCTGCCTAAAAGGAGAAAAAATGAAGCAAATCTAGCTCATTTATAAAGCCCATTCATCTGTTCATAACTCATTTGTAAAATAATCATTATGCCTGTAAATTTTTAATGAATTAAATGGCTTGAATTTGTAAAGAAGAAGCCACAGTTTTCATGATTTTATCATAAAATATACTGAAGCATTCTAAAATGTGACAGGCAATTGCAGTGTAGTGAAAATATTTCAATTTTATAGTTCATTTTCTTGGAGCCAAATTATATAGTCACATGACATTTAAAAATTAAATTTTTGAGATTCTGGGTATTAATGAAGTTATTGTAAAATATTAATTATTTTACTTTAGCTACACACATTTTTACTGTATCTGTAGTGATAACACTCCATTATCATGTGATATATAAAAACACAATAGACTATATGTGAACCTCTATCATTAACAAATTCTGAGCTAATATTTATAAACACAACACATCTGGTCATCATAAAAGTGTATGGAACTTTTTGTCGCGTGACTATCTTTTGATCCGCAAATGTATTATATACTTCATACGAAATAAACAGAGTCAGTTTATAACCTAGCTATCATTAATTGATGGCCATGCAATTTAAGAGAATCAAAAGAAAAACAAGGAACACTTAAGTAAGAACGTCAAAACAGAGAATACTGTGAAAGAGTGAAAGTACATATATATGAGTTCTGTGCACATGAGAAGTTTCAGAAGTCACCATGGAAAAAAACAAATGTACCTAGTAATAAAGAATTAAAACCCAGAAAGTTTTAATCACAATTTTTACAAGTCAACAGAGTAGTATGAATACCAAGGTACCGAAAATCAAAACTTTCACATTTTAAAAAGTTGGAAAAGAAGGGGAAACTACTGAAGATTGAATTCAAAATAACGGAATACACATAGTATTTTAAATGGAACACATTTCCCCCCAAACTAATGAAGTTATAGTTTATAATAGACATTTATTTACATATAGTAGTTTAGTCTATTATTTAACAAAATTGTAATACATCTTTCTTAGCATGTTATACTTTAGAATTCTCACCATATTTCTGGGAGGCAAAATGAACAATTAATATTATTGTTATGGTTACTTTGGTTTCAAAGTTGGAGAGGAAAATTCAATAACTTAATTTATTAATGGGCAGGTAGAAAAACTGGCATTTTTTTCTTACAAATAGTTGATTTATTAAAAAGTTTATGCGAGCCTTTATAAAGCTTTTTTCTTAATAAAATATATTCATTAAGTGGCAAACTCCTGTAAATCCAGCACTCTGGGAGGGTCAGGCAAGACAGAAAGTTCATGTCCAGCCTTAATGACTTAGCAAGACCTTGTCTCAAAATAAAATATAATAAAGGATGGGGGATGGAACTCAGTACAAAGGCCCAGGGTTCAATCCCCAGTACTGTCCAATCCCAAGTATTCTGTAATGTTTCGTAGTTTATACTTTCCAACTTTGTTAGAGAAACTGAAATGTCAAAGAATATTCACAGTCACATCTTGCATAAGGAAGTAATTCCAGGCTAAAAGCCTTCATAAATCTGAAGATATATCTTATTAATCTTACCAGTAATTTTTTTCATCTCATAAATCCCAGTTGCCATAATTGATATAACTTTCAAACGTATTTCTAATTGGGCAACTTTAGATGTGCGAGTGAAATATTTACACAGACACATCCCTTCTGTTTCCCAGTGAAGGCTTCACCATGGATAACAGGAATTCTTCTCCCAGAAAGTAGCCTCTTTCCCAAGACTGAAAAATCCTGAACGCATCCTCTCATCAACTTGGCTTGGATGACTCAGGCATGGAATTACCGCTGTGCTCTAAAAATCTTACGAATCACTCATTTTTAGTAAAAACAGACAAACAGGAAGCTCATATCATTTAAGAAAAAGACCTATTTAAAAAGTAACAATGTTTATATTATCAGTTGATAAAAATGTATGAATTCGCAAACAGTTGGTCAAAAAAGAAAAGCAAGCCAACACCACTATTCATTAGGTTTTTTTTTTCCCACTAGAAATTTTCAAGTGGCACTTTGCTCTTAAAGAGACAAAAACTTTCTGGTGTTTTACAACCATTAGGCAGGGAGTGTTAATTCAGGAGAGAATGAACATGTAGCTTGCAAGTTCATAATTTGCAGCTTCTTGCAGTCTGATTTAAAAGTTATAATACATTATAATTATTTTTGGTTCATACAAAAATGAAGGATCCCTATAACAAGAAAAATTAATAGAAAATTTGGAAAGTATATGTCCTAATCAGTTATATCTGTTCATATATAACAGACTATGAATTTTTTAAAATTCAAAATTCACGTAACATGAGATAAGTAAAAAAGAAAAAAATTTGGAGGTCATACCTTTTACCTTAAAAGAAAATAAACTCCAGATTGATACAGTATTTTACAAAAATACTCCAGATATGGGGAAAAAAACCCTCAGGAATAAGAAAAACCTAGATTTCATATATAATTTAGAAAAAACAATATAGATAAATCCAACTGCATACTAGTAAATACTTTGTAACACAGAAACTACTGCAAGCAAGGCAAAGAGTCAAAGTCAATAAGCTGGGAAAAATTTTCCCACTTATTAAAAAAAAAAGAGCAACAATACATTACAATAATGGCAAAAGGACAGACACACAGCTCACAAGGAAGGATGTAAAAGTGGCTTTAAATATGCATGCAATCTGACCTTTGTAATCAGACCAATGAATTTTATCAACTTGGCAAGAATAAAGTTTGACAACTCTGTGCTACTGTAATTGTAGCAAAACAGTAAAGCATGCATGTGTTATTGGTAAGAGTGTAAACTGGTAATACAATCGCTACAAAGGACAACTGGGTAAGATTCAAATTAAAATATTTTGATCCAGCAATTCTAATTCAAGGGAATAATTGTATTAGTAATCTGCCTGTGTAAAATGCTCTAAGTACAAATTTATTTTTAGCAGCACATTTTTAATCACAAAATGTTGCTTAAAAATGTGTGGAACATAGAAAGGTCTCAATAACACGTGTCAAATGAAGAGCTGGTACAAAATAACGTGTACAGTATGCTTTACTGCTTCAAAATATGAGGGAAATTAATTTTGTAGGGTTGATCTGGAAGGTTGCACCTGAAACTGGCCACACTGGTGTCTTTAGAAGTAGTCATAGAGGGGTGTTGGAGAGGAAAGGGAGAAATTTTTAAATTCCATTTTATACCCTTTGAATTTGTAACATGTTAATGTGCTGTGGACTTAAAAATATATTTAAAAATATGAACAAAATCCATCAGTTAACTGAAACACATACATACTCTGCACATAGACTCAATGTGTACATTATGCACACGCACACAAGAATACATACATGAAGACAAAGGCAGTGTGGCTGCAAACCACTTCTATGTTCCATAAATTAGCTCCTTTAATGAGTGCAGGGAGTAGGGACGGGAGCATGCTGCTCTCTGGGCATGTGCTCGCACACTTTAACAAGCAAGCAGAATGACAAGCTTCAAAATATCTAACATTCCAAATGTCCCGAGTAGAGAGACTTGTGTTTAACTGTGTTGAATACAAATATAGGACACTTGTCTAGTTAGAAGCTGGTTGCCTGCACTCAACAGTATAATAAAAATATACAACTTTCAACCCATGTCTGAATACGCTCCTACTCAAAAAATCAGAATTCTCTAGGCAACTTCAAAGCTGACAGAATTTGAGTTTTCCTATGTATCTTTAACTTGTTTTAGATACACTTGATTATACCACGGATAGAGAATAAGGGGCAATATGGCCATTTTCTCATTGTGGAACACTGCAAACACGTATGTAAGTTTAACCTAATAGAGGCAATGGCTCTAAGAATAACTATTCTTGGTTTAATGTAGTAAATGAGTATGGGAGTGAGAGACAGCTTGTGAGCACCAACCCACATCTATAGGACACATGCACCTGCTTTTGTATCCAGTCTCCTACAGGCTGTTGCTGAGGTGGCCTCTGCCCTGGCCAGGTGTGCACAGGGACAGGCGTGTGCTTCGCCCGACTAGCCTGAAAGATTTCCTCAATTTAGTCTCCAAATTCATCATTCAGTTCAGAGTAAACTTCTCCTAGGAAGCTGTGCTCTGGGACTACTTATGCTACATGCCGAACTGGGATGGGTTGAAGTGGGGCAGCCCCCTAGATATGCCTCTGGGAAGAAGCCTTAGGCTGGCCAGTCACTTTGGGACCCTTTTCTCAGCCCCCATGTCTGCTGTACCCAAGGTGGTCTTGCTCTTGTCTATAGCCTGCTTCTATGACCACTTACATTCCATTCCTATTACTGATCTCTGTAGTGATAACTTTTCTTATGTTTCCACAATTATCTGCTGCACAGTGAATGGCTGCATAAACATGATGAAGCCTGGCTCTGACGTCTGGGCAGCTCTTGGATGGGTACTTGCAATTATTAGACGTGGGAAACTTCACAGAGAATGCTACCAGTGCAAATGTGTGACTTGGATCCACAGAACCAAAGCCTTGTTGCTTTTCCTACTATGCAGCAGGTGTGTGTAGAGGAGCTGGGGATAGAACATAGGGCCTCAGATACACTCTTTCCCACAGTCACACCCCTAGTTCATGGTGCTGTCAGCCCCAGCTTTCTAATCTCCCGATATCCTACTGGTGTTCTTTGCAAAGAGTAGGGCAGATTCATTTCTTTGGCCTTCTTTGGGGAATTTTCACAGAGGGCAGGCAAAGGCTGGAAAGTCTTCTAGAACTGCATGTTTGCATGCAGCAGGCCCTCTACCCTGGCCTCTGCCTCTTGAAGAGCATGCTTTCTCTTATTGACTTCCCTTTCCAGGTGTGTTAGGTTAATCTGAGTACAGAGCTGCATGGTTCTAAAGAAGGCTACCTGAATTCCCTATTGATCTGCTTCAAACAAAAGGAACCAACAGAGGGCTGGGGATTTAGCTCAGGGATTCGGTGGCCTGCTTCGCAAGCGCAAGGACCCGAGTTTGATCCCTGGTACCCCCCCCAAAAAAGGAACCAACAGAAACAACTGAGCAACCAGGCAGTGAGAACAATGGGCCCAGGTGAATGGCATGAACCCTGCATTCATGTCATTCCTTGGGTCTAGATGTTGTGCGGACTGTGCTCACACTCCAACATCTCTGAAGATGCCTAACTACCTGGTGATGATTACAACAGAGGTAGAGACCCAGCTCTACGAGCAGTCATTGTTCTACTTTAATAATTTATTTTATTAAAATAATGTAAGCTTGAGCAAAGGCATACACTGGCTTTTCTAAGTTTCCTATCAGTCTTGGAATCTATTCTGGAGGCCAGGTGAACACAAGCCTCTAGCATGCTGCACGATACACTTTGCAATGGACTTAGTATAAGACAAATGCTGGGATACCAGCACTTGCCTGGCAGTCACGATCATCTGCAGCAGGCAGCGTAGGATACCGGCTTCCTGGATAAGCTCACAGCATACTGAGAGTGGTCTCCAAGTTGATGCTGACTCCTTGGTGGCTTGAGGTAGAACTGTCAGAAGAAAGCTCTCCAAGGCGATAAGCACTATGAAGAGTAGCTTTTCCCCAGTCAGCACCATCTAGGGTCTGGGGGTGTGTGCCCATTTCACCAGTCTGGAGGGCTCACTCTTTGCGGCAGGCAACACTGCCTTGCTCAGGGTAGAGGCAGCCCACAGAAAGCTGTTTTGTCAAAGGGTCTGCATGCCCTGCTTTTCAACAGCACAGCTGCTTCCAAATCAAAAGTCTGTGTTGGGAAACTTAGGTTTTAGTAATGACTTTGTTACTAAAAGACAAGTTGAGATAAGTCCAAGAATATGCACAAATGATTAAACTCAAAATATTTTTAGTAAAGCCTGGTTTTGATCAAAGTAATGGGACCCAGTTATCTGTATAACTTAAAGTATTTCTGAAGATAATTACAAGAGGAGTTTCAAATCTATTCTGTGAAAGGCTGTATCACAGGGATAAATAAATTACCTGCCAAGTGGACTGCTTTGAAGACTAATGCTAATATAGATGTGTGAGATCTCATTATTATGTGGTCACACCTGGAAGAATGTTTTAGCGAGCCTAGTTTTTGCAGCAGAATAAATAAATATATTCACTCCAACATAATTATAGACTGGAATGAAATGGGGAAATAAATGACTAGAAAATAGAAATCAGTACTATCCACTGTATAATGTGACAACACTCAAAACCACAGTGAAATGATTACACACAGAAAACATTAATCACACTGGAGAATCAGCCTCATTATCATTTGCTTTAAAAAAACTATCAGAATAATATGAAACTATATGAAATAGTTAAGAAAAGCTGAAATAATGTTATCTGAGATTTGCTTCAAAATAGTGGGAGGAAAGCACAGATAGATTGAAATTGGCCTTGAGTGCATTCTGCTGAAGCAAGTAATGGGCACTTTTTTTGTTTTTGTTTATGCTTAGAATTTACTACAAAAGCAAAAAATGGTTATGGAAATATATTGTTTTGGCAAATAAGCATATTTCAATGGCTACACAGATATTAAAATAAAAGATCTTTTTATTTAATCCCCGAAGTTTTGATACTATCAATTTAGGGATGATAGCCTTTTAACGGAAAGGAATTAATCTGTGAGGGTATATGCTTTGCCGTGGTTGCTGGCAGCAATGAGAAAACCATACCATTACTGGAGTAAGTAGCCACTAGTTGGGAAAAATCTTATCTATGTAAACTATATTCATAGTATCATGGTTGAGATCTAAAATGTCCCCCCAAAGTCTTATTTATTCAGAAGTGGGGCTTTTTAGAAGGTAACTGTATCATGAGGATGGTACATTCATCCGGCCTCATCCACTGATGAGTTCATCATTGAATGTGTGGCTAGGAGGTGAGTTGCTGGAGGTGTGCCTACGGAGGGGATTTCTACTCTGGCTCTTTCACTCTCCCTCTGCTTCCAGCCCTCCATGGCTTGAGAAGCTAGCTTTCCTCTGCCACCCTCTTTCACTAACGCCATTTCTGCCTGGAAGCCAGCCAACCATGGAGTGAAATCTCTGAAACCATGAGCCAAAATAAACCTCTCTTCCTTAAGTTGTAGGTGTCAGGTATTTTGTTTGAGTGACAGGAAGGTTAACTAATATAAATATATTTAGATGCGTAGAGTTATAACCATCATCTTATTATTTTTATTGTCAAGAGAAAGTGTTTGAAATGGTTTGCCTTCAAACTTGTATGGAGTATGTTTTAACTTGAAAAAACTTTTTTTCAGAATCAGGGATTGAGCTCAGGATCATGTGCTTGTGAGGCAGGCACAGTGCCACTGAGCTAAATCTACAGCCCCTAACTTGAAATTTTGGTGGTGAATACTCATTCAAGTGGGATAGTAAAGTAGAAGCAACTCAGCAGGTTTACATATGGATTTCAGTGAACTTCAAATTAAAAGGTGAAACTACTGAACATCTAGCTTGGAGTGCACTTTCAGAGTTCTGATTTATAGCCATCTACACTCCCTACACTTGAAGACCAGCAGCATGAAAAACACAGTCAGATGCCTGCAACACAAATTTCAATGAGGATTGTACCCGATCTTGATTTCCTAGGCAACACAAAGCCAATTGGATGAGCTTGGGCAAATCTCAGGTTTATAAAGGTACAAAGTTGTGTATCTGTGTGAACTTTCCATCAGTCAAATTTACCTGCTCTGCTTGCTCTTGCTTAATGACACAACAATTTACTGAAATAAATTTGAGGTTGAACAATATTCAGTGAAAAAAACAAACAAACAAACAAACAAACAAAATAAATTACCTTGAAGTTGCAAGGCTCTAAAAGCAGGTATTTTTAAAAGTCCATAGGATATAATGTAACCACCTATGCCAGGTTTTAATTCTGACTCCCACACTTGCCAGCTATACTCTTTGAGGCCAATTACCAGCTTCTCTGCCTAAATTTTATCAACTCTAAAATGGTCATGTCAAAAATGTCATGAGAGTTAAGTGAGGGCCAGCAAAGCTAACACTCAATGTGGACTTACTGTGCCCAAAAACTCTTCAGAGCATCTCAGAATAGAATGCATTTCATCTATGAAACTTCCTAAGGATGTAGCTATTATTACTGGACATAGTCTTGCCAATATGGATAGGCAGACAGAGTTAAGGAATTTGTTCAAGAGCACCAGGAGATCAGGATCCAAACTTGGGCGGTCAGACCAGAGTCCACACCCATGGCCATTCCACATGACTCAGGACGTAGCAGTAGCTCAAGAAATATTTGTTCTTTCATCTTTGCAAGTCTACAGGTAATTATTTTATTAGCAGAGAATCCAAGTATATAAAAAAGAAACTTACTTTATTATAAAGATAGGAAACACCTATATTAATGCTGTATTTAAAAATCCTTAAAAGTAAATTTGTTTGTAACATTAAACTTCAATTATCCACCAACTACAAGATGCTTGGCACATTTTAAAAAATGCTAAAAATTTAGTTGTGTGTTAAATGCATGACACTTTATGTATGAGTGAGTATGTGATGACTCATTAATTGTTACATGAATCAAGCAGCAGTCTCTGTTATCAACCCTTGGTATTAGCATCTGTATTGGACATTTTCATCAAATCTCCACTTTATTGAAATAAGTTCCAGGTTGAAAAATATTAACTGTTAGCAGGGCATAATGGTGCATTCCTGTAATCACAGCACTCAGGAGAGAGGCAGGAGGATTTGCCGTGAGTTCAAAGCCAGCCTGTACTACAAAGTGAGACTGTCTCAAAAAAACAAAAAGAAAAAAGAAAAACATTAACTATTGTTGACCTTTGATGCATACTGGAAATACGGCTTAATCATAAAATACATATATAATCTAACAATAAAAACATAACTATAAAGCTTCACTATGTAATAGTCACCATCATTAAAGAATCTCTCCAAATTTTGTCACCAAATCATGATGAATTACAGAAATAACAAAATAACTTATACCAGCCTAGATGAAAATGTAAATACATAGGTTTTAAAGTAAAACAATAACAAAAAAACCCAAAAGAGTTAAATTAAGCCTAAAAATGCCATATTTAATAAATCTGTAACTAAATCATATCGCAGTTTACTCTAGTCCTAAGTCTCTGAACATTATTACCTGGTATTTTATTTAAAAATAATCATTTTCTAGTCCTTTAACAGGCTTATAAAATAATGAAAAATATAAAAGGCAATTTCCACTGTTTGGGTTGTTTCAGCTGCGTCTCTTTTGAAAGGTGTACACAAAGTGGCAGAAGGGGGCACTGCTGAGTTGAAAAACAAGATAACTTTTAGGAGTCATAGCTGAAATCTTATAATGTTCACAGCACAGAGACTGGAACACTGGAGTTGATCATTACAGACTTTATTATAGATAAATAATATAAAACTCTAGCAACTCTAACCTTTAAACTAAATGTTGTTTATAAAGGTTACTCAATAGAAAATCAAGGATATTCAATTTACAGCACTGTCACCCAACCTGGTGAGCAATGCAGTTTTCAAAATGTGTTTCAAAATGAAATGTGTTTTACAGAACAATGAAATGCAAACCTTTTAGAGACCAATGAGACAGACAGGCTCACACAGCTTACCATTCATCAGGAGAGCACCCATAATCCTCAGGTTCAGGGACATGGCTTCAGAAAGCAAGTGGAGGGACAGAAAGAAAGGAAAAATAATCACAGAAAGGTTGAGAACACAAAACCATGAATAAGGGAAGGTAAGTACTGAAAGATGGATCTCTGAAACGCTAAGAAAATGAACTTTTAGTTGAATCTGGAAGAATGGCAAGTTAGTATAGTAAGTAGAAGATGATGATTAATGGTAGTTAGGCAGGTTTACAAACGTGTCCTGTAACTGCAAAGCCAATCTGCCTTAATCAAAAAGTTTATTGAATTTATGCATAGAATTCAAGATTCAGTAAGAAAAATTTAAACTTAGTAATTTAAATACAAGTGAAAGCCAATGGAATAGTAATCATATTGATTATAAACTCATTCATAATATAATCATATATTTTATATATAGCCAGAACACAGTGTTCTAATGAAACAAACATCTTAATGCCTAGGAACAAAGTATCACACTGATAAAATTTGCCAAACACTGTACATTTTAGAAAGAACTTTGGCTAAGACATGATGATAGTTCTTTTAAAAGGTTGATTAAAGTAAAAGTTATTTTGTTTCTATGATTCAATTCAACCTCATTTTAAAAGGCTAATATTAAAAAATGTTCACTTAAAACTGTATTTATGTATTAAATTTTTTTTATTTCAAACAAAAAATGTGCTCAGTAATATTTTAAACTTTATCCATTAGACAGCTCATTTGAACATGGGTATAGTCTTCTTCGTGTATTTCATTTCAACCAGCCAATCATGTATTCAGTCCCAAGAGGCCCAAAATACATGACAGAGTAGATTTTATTATTTCCCATTCCTGTTATGATATATTTTCATTTGATGTTTTTCTTTTAAATTAAAATTATTAAGGGCCAGGGAATTAGCTCAGTGGTTCTGCCACCTGCCACCAGCTCAAGGACCTGAGTTCGACTCCCAGTACCCCAAAAAAGGATTAAAATTATTAGACGTAAATTTTAAAATGTAAGTTCAGTACAAATGTAGTTATTATTGATTTTGACAAATATACAATAATAAATTGTTGAAAACTCACACAACTCTCCTTCTCCTTGAATGTCCGCCTTCTCTTTTTACCCTTTCATCAACCTGACCAGGACACGGACATTCCAGAGCACCTCTTCTGTCTAAAACACTACACTGCCTCCAGCTCTCCATCTACTCTATCACCCCACTGACAATGGAAGTGGTCCTGTTAGCTCCCTAGTCTCTCTCCTCCTAAAGGGGTTTTGTATACGCTTACAAGGAAGGGCTCACTCTCCCCACTGTAGGCTGGTCTCCCACAACACGAGCTGGCTTGCTGTGAAGCTCTGTGGCAACTGGCTGGCTATAGCTTGATGTTGAAGACAATCACTTCTTTTTTTTTTTTTTGGTACCGGGGATTGAACTCGGGTCCTTGCGCTTGCAAGGTTCTGATCAACCTCAAGGCTTGGACTTTTGCTCCAGTACACTGCCAAGGGAGGCTCTGCACACACTGCATCAAAGTTCTGCCAAGGTGCACTGGAATTAGGCCCCAGATCTTGATCTCATTCACAGCAGGAGAGGGGCTGTTTCTTCCCACATCATGCATTTCAAATCTCCAGAGCTCAGGGGTAAGAGTGTCTCTCTCTGAGTCTGGTACAGGACCGCAAGTGCTCTCCCGGGAGTGATGAGCAACAGGCAATGTGCATATCTGCTCTTGATCCTATCAGCTCGAATTTTCCTGATCTCTGTTCAGCAGTTGTAGCGTCTTTGAGCTACTGGCTATTTACCCTTATACTATGTGCCAGTGCTGTCGTACCTACCCAGTAAGTTCTTCCTTTAATCTCATTCATTCTGAGATCTTAGCTCAAGTACCACTCTCCCAGGAAGCATTCTCTGACCTCCCTGCTTAGACCAACTCCCCATCAGACACTCACATGTAACTTCATAGTGTTAGGATTTTATATTTGACTGTGTGATTACTTCACTAACATCTCTTAATTCTCAATTCTGCAACAGGACTTACCTTTGCTTCTATCTATGGTAAACCAGGTTTATCTTCCTTAGACAGGCTGAAGAAGGGTAAGCTGAAAACTTGTAACTTCAAAAGCAGTTGTTGGTACTTGAAAGTTTATGTCACTTTCTCTTGTTTTGCCATCTGGGGTGGGGGAAAACACCGTGCTTTCTTCTGTTGGGGCCACAAGGTCATGCACTACTATATTTCTCCCTATTAGACGCTATTATGGGCAAATGGGAACATGTTTAGGTTCTGACAACCCAAGGGTGCCCTAATTAAAAAATGCTACTTTTCGAAGAGGAAATGTGCTTCACTGGCAGCGAAATCTATATGAGGACAATACTGTGCTCGAACCCACTCTGCCCTCTGCTAGGGGTTAATGACGGCATCAACAACAGACACAGGAGGAACACTGCTCTCTAGAACTACTGCCTAGGAGTGTTTACAGACCTGTTCCAAGAGCAAGAGAAACCTGGTACAGTGCAGAAGAGAGACAAGATCTTGTTTTAGTTTTCTGTTCTGATAGTTTCCCAATCAATACTTTGAAGAACTTATTTATTTAACTGGAAATTGCACAAAGAAAAAAAAAAGGGTATCAATTATTAAACAGAAATAATATCGGTGAATGAATTTGTGTGAAAAATCAACACTGGCATAGAATTGACAGTGCATGCATAATATGAGAAAATATAGAATCACAATAGGCCTTTCCTTCTCTTCTCTGGGGTAACGGTGGGTAGAACACGTAAGCACAAGATGCCAAAAGTGTGCATGCAACGCTCCTGCTCCAAAGCCACTGGGAAAGGTGAGGAGTGAGCTTCTCAGAGAAGAGGAAGGAGGCAACAACAAGATCCAGGCCTACAAACAGTACCTATGCTTTTTACAGCCTGTCTTTGCAGCGTGAAAAAACTATTCAATCATCTCAACTTCATTTACACATATAATTGGAACTCATTTTTCATCACACTCTCTCCTGTCCCAAAGAACAGGCCTATCTGCTTTCACCTATTTCTCTTTAGGCCACATGTATAGGAATACTCATGCACCTTTCAAATTTTTCATGAAATGGTCCCATTAACCAAATTTCAAAAATTGGTAAAAAAATTATGTTAAAACCCAATAGCCTTTTTACATTGACTTACTGTCTAGAGACAGAGTGTGAATGGGAAGAATGGGTTAGCCAGAAAACCCAAAAAGCAAGTGCTAATGTTTGTGTAATTACAGGCCTCACTTGCAGACAAGGAGAATTGCGAACATTTGCTGATAGGCCAATGGCAATCAGTCAGAAGTATATTTTATCTTTCAATCATGCCTTTGTGGGGAATTGAAGACTCTGACTTTCTTTTTTTAATTTTTACTTTTTTGGTACCGGGGATTTAACTCGGAACCTTGTGCTTGCAAGGCAGGCAGAAGCACCAGTCAACTAAATCCCCAGCCTGACTTTAACTTTCTTACAGCACTCTATTTCAAATTTCAAAGAGAAGGGGTTTGAATGGCTTAGGCAAACACACCGGGAAATAAACAAATTAGATGGATGCCTAACAAGCACATTCTAAAGGACAGTAAGAGCCTCATAAAAGCTTTTGTTAATATTCATTATCCTCTTGGATTAAGAGTTTCACATCCCGGCCTCCTTCCCATCGTCTGAATTTGAGACTGCTCCATGACCGCAAAGAAGAGAGGAGCTAACAGGAAAAATAATCACTCAAAACAACGGCCAGAGAAACGACAATAGTATTTTCACTTGAAACTTGACCAAGGCCTGACTACATCTGCTTTTCACACTCAAACCACTTGATTTCACAGAAGCACAATGAGAAATGTGTCTTCTTATCAGGGCCAGAGAGAGACCTGCTACAACTCCTAACACTTTTAAGACCCACCTCATACTGTTCGCCATGAAGACAATACCAAAGTACAGTGTAGAAAACATGGCATCCTGAATGCAAAGGACGACTTTTGAGATGCAGATGAAGAAAACTCACCCATAAGCAACTCCTGCTATGGTGCACTTTTTAAACTGCATGACGTTGCACGTGAGAGTTCCGGTTTTGTCAGAAAATATGTATTTAACCTAAAACGGATAAACATCTCTTAATCAAAAAATTTTAACAGAGGGAGAAAAATCTTAAGTGACGATTTTTATAAACTTTGTTACACTGTTGGGACACAACGAGTAGCATATTAAATGACTATTTTCTGCACATTCAAGGAACATTCAGCTTTAAAAAATATTTTAGCAATAAACTACTTCATATATAAGTAAAAAGACTTATCAAGGTATTACAAAAAACCAGTCACAGAGAAACATAGCTAGGCTGATTTGAATTCCACTAGAAAATGTCACTACTGTTACTTAACATTTAGAGAGCACTAGGACATTCATCAGCATTTCTCAATATAATAAACAACTGCAGAAACTGATAGTTTGTGCAATTAAGTTCATACATCTGTATTAGTGAAAAAAAAGATATTACATCTTAAATACTATTTATTTATTTATTTTTTCCTCATTGAGTTTATTGGTACATTTTAGGTTTGCAGTACAGTTCCATTCATCATTGGGATCTTGTACCTTTACATGACAGGTCTTGGTTCTCATTTTTCCCCATACCCCTGCCTTCCCTTCACCCCCTTCTCCCTTCCCTATTTATAAACACTTTATTTCCATTTTTCCATTTTCTCATATTTTTTTCATTTCCCTTCTTTCCTTTCCCCTACCCTTCCCAGTTCCCCTACAACTTTAGCCCTTTTCTTCCTATTTCACATTGTCAATTATACCATTAAGATCTTATACTAAATACTATTTAAATAAGAGTTGGAAAATGGTAAAGTGCAAGCATTCAGGTAGTGTGTATAAATGCATTATAAATATACATATACAATTACGTGCTCTGTAAGAATGTTTTAGTCAGTGAGGGACTGCATATAAGATAGTGGCCCCACAAGATGATACCGCCTGGCGATGCTCTAGCTGTCAACATGTGTAAATACATTCTAGGGTGTTCTCACATAAGACAAAATCACCCACCTAACAGTGTGCTTCTCAGAACATAGCCCTATTGTTAAATGGGTGCATGACTCTATGTGTGAATGTACTGTGCAATGGAAAACTAAAATTCTCATTTAACTAGACTCATACAACTTGAACTTTTCCTTCCTTGCTAGCTGAAATCTATGAACCATTCTATTACTATCCTTATAACTAAAACACAGCCCTTGTTTTACATAATTATCAGACAATATTTTGAGAAGCATGCCCATGTGTGTGTAGGACCTTACCTTATTAAAAACAAAATCTGTTTTAAGTAGCATTTGAAAACTTCAATTATTAAAATTAAAAATTATTAGTCATGTACCAACAAATGCTCTTATGCCAACTACTCAAATAATGGAAAATTAGGAGTTGTTACTTCATCTGAAGTTGCCACTTAAGACAAATCTGACTTCTGATTCAACATCTGTTAGTAAGAGTTCACCTGACCGAGCTCCTCATTCAGATTCGACGTCCGAGCCATTGCAGCAGTGTCTGTGGGTTCGTAGTGCATGTCAAGATCCTTTAAAACAATAAAAGAAATCATTAAACACAGGGAATAATAAGGGAATAGGTGAAATTTTGAAAGAAAGCATTTAGTGTCACTGAATGGTGAACTACATGTAAACACTAATTTCTTTCTCTATACCATTTCATTTCCCTGAGAAGTACTCAGTATAGAATATATTTCACTGTTAGAATAGAACAGCATGGTAGTTAGACTTATCTCTGCAATCAGGCAATCTAGGTTTCCTAGCATTCTACCATTCAATAAAGGTACAGGATTAAAATAGGAAAGTGCTCCCTTGAGTATCTGACACAAAGTCAGTGCTTAATGTGAGCTAGAGAACAGCAACTAAATGTTGTTCAAGTAATGAGAGTTGTAAGCCACAGGAAAAATTATCCAAGAGATTCTACCTGGTTTCTACTCTCTAAAGAATCAATAGATTCTATCCTACTTTCTGGGTCAAGTTTCTTACACTACATTACTTGAAAGCAAAATAAATACACTCACGAACGGCAAACCAAAACATGTATACTTTTGTATTTATTCGTACTTGCTTTGCACTCAGTAATCATGAGGTTTAACTATATCATCCAACAAATTAATATTTTTTCCAGTAGAATACTGTATCTTGTCAACAATTCATGGGTGTGGTTTCTGATTTTCACGTGTCAGATGAAAAGACCAAAATCGGAAATATAAACTGTTATCTCTCCTGTCTGTATTCTGAACTGATCAGTTTTACTCCTGGAAGAGGCTATTGAGTCTTATGTGCCATTTTTCAGGAGAGTCACTAACCAACGGGGCCATGATTAGAGACGAGTGAGGAGATCAGAATAGAGATTAATGAAAAGAAGGCCAACTACAGGAGATGGGGGTGTTCATTTAGGGAGAAAAAGATGACAGAACAATATTTATGACAGCTGATTTCAAATATTTTATAAGGCTATCACTGAGAAACAAGATTAAACACTTCATCATGGATCCACTGGGCAGAACCAGCAGGAAAGGGAGATAATTACTGATCTCAGTTCCACAGAAGGAAGACACTGCTTTGTAAGGGAAGACTGGAAAGCCAGTCTTCCATCTGGCAGGGATGTTGCAAAAACCTCTATACATTAACAAGGTGGATGAAAAGCATACGCCTTCTCTGTTTGCCCAACTCTAAAATAATGATTGGAAACAAATATTACTTTGAAAATCCAAATAAAAAATAATGGATTGAATAATTAGATGTTCACAGTGAATTATCTTATTATTTCTGTGCATGAGAACCTTTCAGGAAGTTTTAATTAAATTCACACACATTACACAATTCTTCAGCAACACGTTCCCTGCATGAAGAGAGTGATGTCTGCAGCTCACTTCAGATTTCTACATCATAGATTTCATGCTAAGAATTAAAAAGCTGATAATTTAGGGGAACCATTTACTATAAAAAGATAATGAGCAGCTGCAGAAGCATCATCAGTTTTATTTTACAATCCCAATACTGTACATATTGAAAAACTTTAAAATGATTTGTGAAGAAACATTTAAAATATCACTAAAATTTCTCAAGAGAAAAATTAAGCTTTGTAACAGAAGGCATGAAGATTTACTTAATTCACATAAATTCATTAATTTAAACCTCAATAAAACAAAACTAGAAGAATAACAACATATTTTATTTTTAAAATTAGGAAATAATCTGGGCATGGTGGCACACACCTGTCATTCTAGCACTTTGGGAGGCTAAAGCAGAAAGAACGCAAGTTCAAGCCCAGCCTGGGCAACTTAACAACTTAGTGAGAATTTGTCTCAAAATAAAAAAGGGGCTGGGCATGTGGCTCAGTGGGAAGGCTCTGGGTTCCATGCTCAGTATCACACAAACACAAAGGAAATAGGCATCCAATACATTTTCCCAATATTAAAAAAATCTGAGAAAATAATTCATGCACAGCTGAAATTATTTGTAGTGTACAAAAAAGTAAACTGCAAATATGCATAAACATTATTGATAATCTGGTTGTTAGTGGTAGCAGACATAGTATTATTCATATAGTGCTTCACTGCTTATAAAGCCCTTTGCTATCTGAAGAGAATCCTTGATCTGTACAATCAGAGATGTAGGGAAAGCATGTTTCACCTTCTCCATCAAAGTGCCAAGAAAGTAACTGTCAAAGAAATCAAAGGTCAGGCAAAGTTCCCACGTTTAGCAAATTATAACACTAGAAGTACAATCTAAGGATTTTAATTCTAAACTCATGCTCTCTTTCCCCTGCATATCCCCAAAGAGGTTTTCTGAACATATGACTTATTTCCTTCAGGATGTCTGTTTATAAACTTGCACGAGCCTGAGAAGAGAGACTTTGTTAAAATTATATCCGATAAAAAATAACACCCTGTTAGTAAATAAAAGGTAGATGGAATTAACAGTTTTTTTTTTCCCCCTCAGAGTTCAGAAGAACCGGTAATAAGGAAGAAAAATATAGTACTTATAACAATAATATAATTCATAGTTACCCAATTTATGAAGTACGCCTGGGTAAATTTCACCACTTCTAATGTAACCAACAAGCTGATAGGAATGAGATTATTGAAAAGTATGATGAAGGTCAAGAAATTCAATCCAAAATTATTAGCTCCACCATCTGTTGGGGGGAAGTGGAAACAACATTTACAATTTTATATTTACATTGAAAAAAAGTAGTGCAACAAAAATTTTCTATATTTCATAGCATATCTAGATAATCTGGGAGAACCACTTGGCTGATAATACATTCTAATTCTCACTCTAACCTTTGAGAGGGAACAGCACTGTAATTGGCCTTCCGTATACAAAGGTTCTGTATCTGTGGATTCAACCAACTGTGGCTGAAAATACTAAGGGGAAGAAATTGAACCTGTAACACATTTTTCATGGCATTCTTACTTGAATTACACAGTAAAACAACTATTTACATAGCATACACCTGTATTAGGTATCATAAGTAATCTAGAGATGATTTTAAGAGCAGCATACAGGCGAATGTGAGTAGGCTGTATATAAATCCTACATCATTTTATATAAGGAACCATGGATACAAGGAACAGCTGTACTTCGTGTTATATTGCTAATCCTGCGAAGAGCTACACCATGGTACTAAAAAGCGAAGGGACTACCAAGTATTGCAAATCCTATTCCAAGGTTTTATAAATTCTAATATTTAAAATACTAGGACTGAGAGTCTTAACAGATGGTTTATAAATGTAAAACTTCAATAGGACAGAATTTCTTTTATATGAATTCTTGAAAGTACTATATCTCCCATTTAAAGAAAGCTTTAAAAGCAAACAAACAAGACAGTAGCAGCATACTGCACTGAGCATTATTCATCTGTAGGTAAATTATGCTTTTCCTTCTCATCAAAGAAAATAAAAACAAGCATGTCAATTACACTGTAAAGAACATGAAGAAACAAACTGATGGTATTTTTTTCATAATAAGCCAGTGATGAAGAAAACAACTTAGAATAGCTGTAAAGTTAAATATATGAAATAAAAACAGCTTTAAAATAATTTTTTGCTGTAAGATTTTAGTAGAATTTGTTTTCATATTTTCAGAAATTAAGATTTACTGGAGTCTACTATTCATATGAACATGCAAAATCACTCCCCAGACATACACAGGGGTGGTACACCAGCACCACGACAACCAAAGCATACACGCTCCAGAGGGAAACTGTGTAGTAGCACTTTTCTCATAACAAGATGAACATTACCACAGGACTCCCTACATTACTGAGGTTAAGTGAGAGCACACTGTGTTCAAGCATTTTCAAAATATGTAAACTATTTTTGGTAATACAGAGACTACAATATCCTCCATACACACTCAACATACTTTATCACATAGCTACAACTTGTTTTAAAAAACATTTTTAAAGAAAAGTTTTTATTTATGCATATCATGTTCGAGATTATATTGTATTTGCTGACACACTAGCGTGGATGCTCAGTATGTTGCTAAGGATTTTTAAATTTAGAGATTCTAAAATTTTACTTACTTTTACTGGAAATCTCATTAAAAACAAATACTAAATGTCTAATAATTTTGATAACAACCTTCTTTTCAGGAACAATAGAAAATTCCACAAAATAAATTAAAATTAATTGTGGAACAAATATATGAAAGGAAAAAACAGTGCAGTTGGCACTTTATTGCTTACAGCTTAGATTGAGATACCAGTCTTTTCCAGAGTGCCTTCGATTCCAAATGGCTGAGCCCACAGAACAGATAAGAGACATGGCAATTAAGATACAAAATAAAATCAAAATTTGTACATTTGTAATTCGTTCCACATTGGACAGCTTAAGTGGTGGACTTGTTGAGTTCTGTGAAAACAAGAGAGATGATTAGTTTTTAAAAAGTACACAATTTAGTAATGTGTATTTTGGTCACAATTTAATAGCTTGGCATGGGTGTGCATATGAAAACTGAGCAAAGTCCATGACAAATGCAACAAGGAATCCATGGTTGATCACATCTTTTTCTTAAGGCCACTATACCACCTTCTTGTCTGACTTTCTATGAAGTCAATAAGAAAGAGGAACAGAAGGTAGTAACATTCCTTTCGTAGACATTGTAGGAGGAAAGATGAACTTGGCTACTTAAGAAGAAAAAAGAAAAAAACGCGTGTCTAGAAAGATCTACTTAGTGTCTCTGCTCCGAAATGAGGCAGGAAGGCCTATGCACCCACAACCGATACCTGGAAATTTCAAAGTGTGAAGGTAATTTTTAAAGGATCTTGGATTTTCAAATTCCTGGTGGCACCTAGCAATTATTTTAATGAACAAAGAAACAATGCTAGTAGTCCTAGCTAAAAGGAATAACATAGGAAAGCTTCCAAATTTGCATCTGATGATTCAAATATTTATGCCACCTATAAAATTCAAGTTAAATTTGTTGTAATCAATATAAAATGGAGATTTATAGAATTACAGAGTACTTGGGTAGAAACATTAATGATAGTTGTACTTGTCTGCTGAAAACATCTTCATAACTGATGAAAGCATCAGTCTTAGAGTAGATTTTCATTTCACATTTAAAAGTCGGTTTTCTACATCCATTGATCTACTTGACACAGATGTGACCATAATACAGAGAGAAGCACCTTTAGGCAGGTGTAAACCTTAGTGCTATAGTGCATGTTTACAGCAAAAATAAATGCTACAAGATAACTATCTGATGCACACTTTTCTTAATTTATGGAGAAAAGAAATTTGATAACTGCATTAAAATACAATTATAAAACAAATAATTTTAATACAGAGAATTAATGTTACATAGATGACTTGAAATGATCAACAATAGTTAGAAAATGCTGCCAATGGCCCACACATAAATCACTGAGAATTTATTCATGTGTGGGATGGCTTTTGGTGAAAAGTCCCAGAGCTCCCATTATAGCGAGCCCTTTCATAGAGATAGGAGTTCAATGTTCCACTTACTGGAGCATAGATTTTGGATGTATGGGGTAGGGTTCAGGAATCTGTAACAGGCAGTCTGCTCAGTGTGGGCTAACTGCACTGAGATCCACAAATGTGTTTATTTAGGATGTTATGAAGGGCTCAGGGCCAACAGGGTTCATGGCTACAAACCCTACCTGCATTAGCTTGGTGTCATGTCCAGTGTAGACCACTATCCCATGGACCCACTGAGTGTTTCTCAGCTGAGCGCCTCGAAGAAGGATCTGATCTGCTCCCAGGGGCACAGTGCTAGGACAGATTACGGTGACATCAGAAGTGACATTTTTAAAATGCTTAAACCGTACAGCTGCTATATGGTTCCAAAAGGTTCAATTATTAAAATAACCCCCTCTCACATTTATTTTCTCTTTGGAGTAGAAGTAGTTTTCCGACCAAAAAGAGCAGGATCAACCGTCAGGAAGTATTTAAGCCGCTCTTATTTAGCACATCAGCCATGTCCTATAATTTCACATCCCCTGTGGATGGAACTGTGTCCCCCTAACAATCATATGGATGTGATGGTATTTGCAGATGGAACCTTTAGGGGGTGATAATTTAAATCACATTTTTTTCATGAGTAAGACTCAAGCTGGGTTTTCTCAAGGCCTCTATGATAGGCTATTGGGTGATTCAAACTCATTCAGGAATATCATAAGAGCAAAGACCAGTTACTTGATGGATATGTGATGTCTTACTTACTTTTCTTTCATTGCTGAGACAAAATACTTGACATCCAAAGTTAAAGGGGGAGAGGTTTATTTGGCTTACAGTTATAATCGGCTGGCTCCAAGGCAGGGTAGCAGAGGAGTAACAGTTCATGGTGGAGAAAGGCAACAAAACCAACAAGGGAAGGGAGAGGGGGCCCTCAACAGAATCTTTCTGCCCCTTGTATCTTATAAAGACTACTTAGGGCTGGTAGCACTCACACCCTCAGTCCTAGTGCATTTGAGCCTAGCACTGCACCATGAATCAATTCCAGAAAACACTCCACCTATGACTGCATGAGGCCTTGTGGTGACATCAAGACACAAGGCAAAACATACAAAATTTAGTGGGCCAAGGATTCCTATTACTAAGTCTTTATTTTAAAAACAAACAAACACAAAATAGTTAGGCATGGTAGTGCACACCTGTACTCTCAGCTATTCAGGAGACTGAGGCAGGAAGTTGCTAGCCTGGGTAACTTACTTAGACCCTGCCTCAAAATTTTAAAAACACTAGGGATGCAACTCAGTGGCATCTAGCATGTGCAAGGTCTGTGACTCAATCTCAATATGGGGTGAGGGGGGAGTCATATAGAAAGAAAATACATTTTTGAAAAAAAAAATTCCCAAGAAATGTACAGAGAACACAGAATTCTTTGTCACTGAAGGCCAAGTGAGCCTGGGGTCCAGCAGGCTTCAAAAGTCAGTAGCAGTTTGGGCCCTGGACCTTCTCTTAGGACTATAAGAACTCTACTGGCTTAGGTGAAATCAAACCAACACGGACAGGTAAGACCAGCACCCAAGTGAATTCCAAGGGGAGAGTGTATTTCAATTTAGAGAAAGGACAAAACAACCGAAACTATCATTATATATAACTATCCCTTCAGCACACATTTGGATTGGAACCTATTGTACCCCATCTCAAGTGACTGGAAAAAAAAATCCAAGTATTTTATAAGAAAAAAAAAAGATTAATTTTTCCTCACAGTTTTGGAGGCTGAAAAGTCCAAGCTCCCACAGCTGCTGTTATGGCATCACGTGGTAGAAGTGCATACAAGAGTGACCAGAGCAACTCACTTGATAATAACTGGGCCTTGCAGCAACAAATCCAATGCCACTGGACCTAACTCATTCCTGGGGTAGGCACTAAACCTTTCTGATGATCTTTTTATCTCCCGAGTCCCACCTCTTGAGGATTCCACAACCTCTCAATACCATTACATCAGAGGCTGAGCCTCTATCTAGCACATGATTCTCTGAGGGACAAACCGTATCTAGAGAACACTTCAAATATATATACAGATACAGATATAAATATATAGATATACACAGAGATATGGATATGTAGATATACATAGAGATATGGATATAGATATATATCTGAAGGTTTGAGGTTCACTTCAAAGATGGCAGGGGCTTTGGAACTAAAAGGTTTCCACAAAGTTCTTGAGATGTTACTGGACAATGATCTAGAGCACATGTATACTGCCTACTCCTCACTTATCCAATGGGTTACATATAGCAACTGTTGTTTTAGCATTTGTGGCAAGGACTGGCTGGAAAGAGATACAAACTCTTCAAAAGCAAAACATACTACCATGCGTATTTGTGTTACTGGGGACTGAACTCAGGGTATCCCACTGAGCTACATTCTCAGCTCTTTAGAGACAGGGTCCTTGCCAAATTGCTGAGTTGCCCAGGCTGGGCTCAAACTTGGGATCCTCTTGTCTCAGCCTTGCAGAGTGCTGGGGTTAGTAGTGTGTGCCACCCTGTCTGGCAAAACTTACTACTTCGTAATTAAAAAGACTCAAGAAGAGTTAGTACTAGTTTTTACCACAGCTGGAATTCCAAAACTTCTGGCATTAGATCATGTTCATCAACCCTCCGGTAATCAAAGTATACTCACCTGAAAGGGTGTTCAAGAGCTCTGGTAATCACTGTCAAAGCCAAACGTGTTTCAGAGACAAAGGTTTTGAAAACCTATTTCTACCTTTCATATAAAATAAAGCATATTATATAATTTCTCTCTGTCTCTGAAATCTTGGCAATATCATACACAATTTCTCCTTCACGGAAACAATTTACTTGGCACCAATTTAACAGCAAACTGATAAGAAATGGAAGCTGGCCAGTTTAGGAATGTCAGACTAAAGAAACATTACTTGTATAAATGGCCAAATGTATCATTAGCCTGTAACCATATATTCAGGGAAAGATCACTCTGTGCAAATTTTAGAGCAACAACTACTTTAAAGATTACAGGACAGCTTTTGGTGGATCTGAGTAAGGATGGTAGTACAGGATATTCTTCAAATATTAAAATTCTTAAAACACTAATGAATTAGACAATTACAAGACAATGAAAGTGCTTTTCCAGGCTGATGAGGTGAGTGGAGCTAGTGCATCAAGGTGACATTTAGTTGGATACTAAAAATGCTTGGTAAACAAGGTAGAGAATTCAGGGAACAAAGCAAGGGAAGGACAAAAGGAAATAGAGGCAGTAAAGATCCTATTCTTCCTTCCCGGCTCCTTCCCATTTCTTTGCTGTCCTTTGTAATAAAACTTCTTGAAAAAGAAGTCTACACTTGTTATTTGAACTCCTTCCGTAATTTGGAACTCACTCTCATGGGATTCTACCTATTCTGATCAAGCTCAAGGGACTCTATTTGCTAAACCCAACTGTGCAGCCTTATTATACTTGACCATCAGCCACATCTGATTTAATGTGGTGCCTCCACTTCTGCATGGTACAGCTCCTTCACTGCCTCTTAGTTTCCATCCCATGAGCTTTGTCTTAGTCTCTCACTTGTCTTTTCTCTTTTCTTAAAACTCTTAATGCTGGACAGTTGGGAGAGTCCATGGGTCTTTAATTTTTTTTTTTTTGTCTACGCCCTTTTACTTTCTGGTTTCTTCCAGTCCTACAGCTTTAAATACATATCTATCCCAACTACCCCCAAATTTATTTCAGCCAAGGCTTCCACTCCAAACTCAGGTATATATGCAATTACGACTTTGCCACCTCTGTTTGGCCATCTTAAATATACTAAACCCCAAACTGAACTATTTTTCTTCCTCTCTCCACATCCTCCAATGGATCCCCCCTATTTGACTTAGAATACACTTTTACAGTACCCTATAAAACCTTGTATGATTGGGCCAATTATTAAGTTCCTCACCTCCTACTCATCATTGATCAGATGTTTCCTTCATGATGGGGGTCACTGCAACCACTCAAAATGATTCCTTCCTAAGGACTTCCAAACTCTCTTATCTTATGCTATCTTTTCCAAATTATTTATTGTTTTCTAATATAGGATATAATTCTCTTACTTATCATTTTATTTTTTTGTCCTTTGTGGTGGTTAAAGTGTCAACCTGATTGGCTTGGAAACTGCCTAGATAAGTAAAGCACATTGCCAGTTGTATCTAGATGGACACGGAAACATGACTTTGGGCATTGTATCTAGTCCCTGTCCCCTTCCTCTCTGGCACTATTGCACTGCTCTGCCTTTTGGCTTTTCTCTGTCATACCTTTCCTCCATGATGTTCCTGCTCCAAAGTCAGCTGACTATGGACTGAACCTCTGAAACTGTGAGCCAAACAAAACTCTCCTCCCTTAAATCGTGTTATGGATTTTTCTCCTAGCAATAGGAAAGCTGACTAAACACCCTTCCTCTCCTACAAGAAGGTAAGCTAACAAGATACAATGGTATGAGTGTTCGTGTCTCTCAATATTTATAAATTAAAAATGAATTAAAACTAACTGGCTAAGTTTTTGGGATGACTGGGTCATGAAATTTCTGCCCTCAAGAATAGAATTCACGCCCTTCTGAAGATGGCCAGAGGCCCTTCATTATGTGAGAATACAATCACAAACTATCTATGAAGAACAGGTCCTGACCACACACCAAATTTGCTAGAGCCTCGATCTTGGACTTCCCAGCCTCCAGAACTGTGAGCAATAAAATTTTGTTTAAAAATTTCCCAGACTAAGGTATTCTGAAATAGTGATGTGAAACAACTAAGACACAGGGCAGGAATACAGTGGATTATCAAGTTATGATTGACCCGACATATGAACAGTTGGGTTAATTAGGCTAATGGACGATTTATCTGCCTCTTGTTATCTGTAGCATGTACCCAGGTAAACCTCCAGATCTCAGCTATATTGACTTACAACCAAACTAAGTTACAACCAGCCCTCAGGAACTGATCAAGTTCCTAAGTCAAGGATCCACTGTATTTATCTTCTTTTTCATCATTGTCTCCTTATATGTGTAAGGGGCCTAAGCCACCAGATGCATCCTAAATGCTGGCTGAATCAATGAGGAATGCAGTAGGGAAGAAAAGGAAATGACAGAAAGCAGGCAACAACGGTGACTACAGATGACAACACGGCCTAGAAAACAGCATACGAAAGAATTACACCGAGAAGACAAGAAATTACCCAGTACAATGAACACTTAGAGGCAGAGTGGGAACTCTTTGAGACATCTACAGATCACAGGAAAGGATTCAGACCGCAACCAAAATAGATAGTTAAAGCAAGAAGAAGTATTTTGGTGGAAGAAAAAAAGGTTGCTTACTTACTAAACAATGCGCCGGAAATCTGGATAGCCTTGAAAACATCCAGTTACTATGTTGGCACTTATACCACACAAATAAGGTTAAGATCCAGCAGTTTTACAAAAGAAACTCAGGTTGGAATTTAGACATGGTTTATATATAGACGTGGTGTATACTCAAACTTGGACATAATCTGTACCCAGACTTGGAAGAAAGACATTCAACAGTACATGATAACCACGGGGCCCCAGATTTTTACATACCCATGGCCGTCAAGCCTTATATTTCCAACAAAATCATAGAGGTGTCTGTTTGGACTTTCACACTCAATTCTGCCAGAAATCCTCATTAAACTGTCAATGTCTTTGATGTCTGAGGTTGCTGGTAAGCCCTGTCAAAAATATTTAGAAAAGCAAAAAATATATTAAATAAGTTGTGTTTGGGTGGGTCCAGGTCTTAGGATCTAAGGGATCTCATTATTTTATAAGCATTTCTTTCCCCTTATACAATATTCTGTCAAATCACAATTTAGGGATATTTTCCGTTCCACTAAGTCTCTAACTTTTGTAAAAGTTCTAAAGAAACTATAAGTAGTCTGCAAAGATATTGTAAAGTAAACCCCCAAGAACGATTCACTACCAAAATCGAAATATTTAGTACTATACATTTTCAGTCTGTCTGCTGAATCTAAAAGGGACATGAAACATAGTCTGTGTCTCACGACTGTTTTTCTTTCCTTCTCTTCTTTTCTTTTTTTTCTACTGAGAAGGAAAGTTCTCAAACAATTCTTCCTCTGTCCAGTCAGAAGTAGAGGCCATGGAGCACGGCCACTCTCCCTGCATCAAGGTACAGGTCCACTGACACAGTTCACCACACCCCAGCTCTCCTACACACCCAGCCATTTTCATCACTCACCTCGAACCTAAGGCACATATTCATTGAAAACTCTTTTTAAACTTTAGAAATAAAAACTTCACAGTTTTCTTCTGCTAAGAAATCTACATTACTGTAAATTCCCAAGCTGAGTCCAAGTTTCAGAATAGCAAGAGAAAGTAGAGATTTCAGTGTGCAAAGCCAAATAATAATTTGGGACAGGTGAATAAGAAAATAAGCCAACATATGTCAAAACATGTACAGCTACTATTTTGAAATTATCCAAACATCAGCTACTAATGAAACAATCTAAAATACTACAATTTTTTTAAAAGAAATATTTTTCATTTTTGTTTTTTTGATACAGGGTCTCACTATGTAGTTGAGGCTGACCTGGAACTCACTATGTGGCCCAGGCTGGTCTCGAACTCACAGTGATCCTCCTGCCTCAGCCTTCCAAGTGCTGGGATTACAGGTGTGTGCCACCATGACCGGCATTAAAATATTATAATTTTTATATGATGGGACATATTTAATCAGGCAAGCAAATACAAGTGCTCCATAGTACTTAACAACTGCAGTTTATGAAATCTCTTCACAGTGGTTCAATGAGAAAATATTTGAAAGAATTACTTCAACTCAGGACAGTAACATTAAGAAAAAAAAAAAGCTCAACTCCATATAATAAAACTGAATGCTTAAGTGAACCTCTATTATAACTTACCTGTCTAATTTTCAAGTTTGTTTCACCATCTAAGTTGGATGTCTCAATGTAGCACATGGCCTGGGGCTCACTGTGGTTTAGAATTGAGAAGCACAAGTATTTAGTGGGGAAAGGAAAGCAAGAAGAGTAACTTATTTAAATGCTGCAACTCACCAAAGTCTTCGTTCTAGACCAGGGATGGCAAACCTTTTAGAGCTTTTAAAGATACAAACGGCCCACTGTGACATGCATGTCATAGATCTGCCACCACTGTTCTAGACAAAGCTATGTCACCTTGCTCCCTGATGATTTTCATTTTAACAGCCAGATACTGTGAGGCAGAACCCATGCATGACCATTCACAGACCAGCTTTCGAGCCAGGATTCAAAAGCGGTTTCCTGACAACATTCAGTAATGGTCTTCAAGATAACGTAAGTGAGTAGATTTGTCAAATTATTTTAAAATTGTTCATCCATATAGACACAACAGACTGTGTCTGAAATGTAAAGCAGTTTTGTGTCCACATTTATCTGCAGTCCAGATATCAAGTGAGATTTCACACTCATGGCCCACATGTAAATTGGCTAAGCAAAGTGATTAGAAAATTCCAGATTGCTACTTCTACAAACTTGGATTTAAAAGTATCCTTTTAACTATGATGAATAGGGTCATATGGACCACATAACACAAAAAGTTTTACAGCAGCTTTTAAAAGACACATGAATATATTTTACATTGGAAGTGGATATATACTTTTCTCTGTTGTTCTTCCTAGTTCCTATCTTCTTTATCTGTTAAAGAAACTTGGGCAAGTTTTGAGGACAAGAAAAGCTAAAACTAAAACCAGCCAACTTGGCCATATTGCTCATTGCTCTGAACCTAGTAGATCTTCTTCACAGGTTTCCACCAGAGCATTTAGTACAACTCAGCGTGCAGCGGTCTGAGGGTTTTAACAAAGGTGCCATACCCTAGACCAGTGATGGCAAACCTGTTAGAACTTTTAATGATACAAACAGCTGGCTGAGGCACACGTGCCATAGGTTCGCCACCAATTCCCTAGACTATCACATATGTCCCCTTCCCATGATGTCAACTGTCCAGCAAATACAGACCCGTGAGTGTGTGGTTCAACTGCATAACTGGATCCTCTGCTTTGTTAGAAAGTATTCTGAGTTAAACAAATACTTTCATTAGCAATTTGTTATAAAATAAGTCCAATTTATGAATATTGTGTAAGTATATGAATGTAATTTCTAATAAGCATGAGCACACATGCCTAAAAAGAAGGAAATTTGCAAGTCACAAACACCTGGAATTTTCTAATCAGCTTCCAATTTGTACATGTACAAGACAGACTATTCCAAGTTTCAGAAATGAGAATTTAGCTTAATTTCATGGTCTGAAAATTTGTGAAAATTAGTCATATACATGGACAGTAATAAAACATTTCAGATTCATTCAAAAGTAACTTTGCAAGATCTCCCATTTCCTCTAGAGGTTTTCTTTCATAAAGGCTGTTACTTTTTTCCTAAATGGGGGAGTCTTCCACTATTTATATTTTCACTCTATCAGTTATTAAAATTTTTATTTTTAAATCACTTTCACAGTGGTAATTTAGTGCTTGCAATGGCCCCACTTTGTAATTTGTTTATGTATAATTTGCAATAAATGATTTATGAAATTATAGAACATTTTCGAGTAACAAAAGGATAATGACAAATGCTAAATAATAATGTTGATTCCATAAGTAAAATTTTATTAATATCCTTAACCAAGGCCAGTCTCATGTTAAAATGAGGATAACATTCTAATTCTACTTATTATTAGTTTTTTTTCACAAAGCAAATTTTCTAGGACTTTAAATGGCAAAGAAGTTGGAAGTTTAAATGGTTGACTTCTATCTGAAGCGGGACACATAAAATATGCATTTGTATTCAGAATATTCTTAATAAGCACTTAAGACAGCTGTGATGGAAGCGGTTCTTAACAGAGCTGTGAGAAGGCAGCAAGAAGTCAGGAATCATGCTAGATTATAAACATTTCAGCAAGTTATGACGACATCTCAAACACAAACTACAGTCAGAGAGGCAAAGCAGGCTTTTTGATTAGTAAGTGGAAAAATGAAACAAGATGCGTATCACAATACAGACACTAGTGGACAGCTGAAATTTACCACAGTAACGTGCACAGTGTCACAAGTTACAAGTGGGATAAAAACTGATCCCAAAGCATGCGGTACAAAATGTACAACATCCAGCTTTGTGCAGGGGGTCCTCTGTAAACCCTATACAAGCCCAAATTATAGTCATAATCACTGGAAGGATTCTACAGAATGTATAGAAAATTTAAACCATAGGAATAAGAAAATGTAATCAAATTTCAATGACTGGTTAACACCGTTCAAAACAATATCATGGAGTGGTCATAAGTTTAGCCTTAGTACTGAGGCATGCGGTTAAATATGAATATATGTTAATGGTGCAGAAGATATTAAAAATCTAATTTTATGGGTGTGCCTCTTGGACTCCTGTTGAGACAACAGGAGTTAAATGTGCCTGGCAGAGGGACAAACATCACCAATAAGACATTCGTAAAATGCCTTTAAAACATCTGTGAAATGTCCATCACCAATAAATATAAAAAATGTTTTGTGTTTTAATGGAAGAGACACAGAATTCAGCCACATTTGGGTGCCACTGTTCTCTGGGGTTAGGGTGAGGACCCACATACACACATCCTGTACAGCTCAGTGTTCTGACCTTGAGGACAGACTGATGAGATCTGCTGGGAGATGCTCCCCATTGGTCACTTTCACTATCTCCCCTACTGCCACCTACATGTCCCAGTTTAAAATAATTAAAATGGGAAAAAAAATGAATAACAGAGAAAGAACAAACAAATGGACAAAAGAGACAGAAGGTTTGAAATTATTATAGAAAATAATACATGTTAATAAAAATGTCAAATGCCAATTTTTTCAAAACTTATTTTGATCAGGTCTGAAGACATAAGAAAATATTTAAGGATACTTATATGCCTTAAAGTCTAATATCCAATTTCTAATGTGAAAATTTTCAAATTTTAAAGTTTACATACAAGCATTTCTTATCAAATTAAATAAAAACCCTTCCTGTAGAAAGCTACTTTATCTTATAGATTCCTTTTTCTAGTTCCTCAACCTCATGCCATCAACTGTATGCGCATTCCTACCTGAAAAAGCAAAGAAATAATCAAGGAAGTTATTCTAGGGTTTTGAGAAACAAAGCATTCTATATGACTTCCTATACACAATAAAAAATAACTTTGTTAAAGATATTTTGATTCCAAAACATTTTCATTTTATTTTAGGTCTGCTTTTGACGCTTTTTTTGGGGGGGTGGGTACTGGGGATTGAACTCGGGTCCTTATGCTTGCAAGGCAGGCCACCGAACCGCTGAACTAAATCCCAGGCCCTCAACTCGGGATCTTATGTTTACAAGGCAGGCAGCAGAACCACTGAGACAAATCCCAGGCTACAAAACATTTTCAAAGTAAACTGCATAAATATCTTCTTAACTTTAATGCAAATTACACAGATATGAATCTTAGGACATAAGAAGGCATAATTGAAGCCACTGGAGTTATTTAGTAATGCCAGTCCATGTTACTATAGTCCTTTTGTGGGGAGTTGGTAAGCCTTCACATTCAAAGAAAAATTTTCAGCAGGGGTATGAGACAGACACACCAAGAGTCTGTTTGTATTTGAATTATCAGCTTGAGTTATTTTACTGTAGCTTACATTTTCTTAGCATAAGTGTATTAGTTGCTATATGCTAAAATTTCATTTTCTCCATTTCAAAATGAAAATCATTGAAAACAATAATGTTCCAACATTTTTGTGCTTTAATTTCACAACCATCTCAGAGAAGATGCATGATTAATGTTTACTCACAGTGCAAATTCAGTATTACAAAAGCTTTTTATTCTTCTTCTTTTTTTTTTTTTGGTACCGGGGGTTGAACTGGGGTCTTTGTGCTTGCAAGGCAGGCCACCAAACTGCTGAGCTAAATCCCCAGCCCCAAAGCTTTTTATTCTTAATGTTAATGGTATCACCACATACTTATTTTGATAGTGGACACTGTGTCATAATGAAGAAAATTAGAAGAATTCCAATCTTGATTTAATCATTAAAGTTAAGTGGCTAAGTGGAGACAAAGTGAAAATTTCTCTTCCTGTTAAATAATAAAAGCTATTACCTAAATCTTAAGGTTAACGTAAGTTCAAAAGAGCTAAGTAATGCAGAAATCTCTCAAGGAAAACAAACAAAAATCAGTTGAAAGGTAGTGTTCTGTAAAGTGGGTAGAAATGCTAGCCAAATAGCATAATATTTAAACTATACTGTGAATCCCACTAAATAACCAAAAGTAAAGAAATTTTTTAAAAGGAAGAAGTTAATTACTGTGAATATTAAGATATAAAAATTGTTTTCATCTAGCAATATTGATAACCACCAGGAAATGTTTTAAAGTTTAGAAAACATATCTTGTACAAAATGCTCTAACATTTAGAAATAAAGGTTATCTTTTATGCAAAATTCTTGGGACCAGAGGTGTTTCAGATTTTAGATTTTTTCACATTTGGGAAAATGTGCATAGATTTTACTGGTGAGCATCAAACACTACAAGTATAGAACTTGCTGGGGAGTTTCTGGAACTGGAGAGAGAAAGATCACAAATAGTTTGAAAAATTTCAAGTAAGAATTCAGTTTATAGCCAAGGTAGGATAGACAGTTATCTTCATATTTTTTAACAGAGACAAAGAAATGCTGTAATCAGTGGTTCAGCATATATAGCTCTACAGTAAAGTCTCTTCAATTAGGAAAATGTCAATACTTTTTAAAATTGGTAGAAGACGTTACTATACCTTCTTTACACAGAAACATTAGGATGGCCCATCGTCCAGTACAATTATCAAACTTCTACTTTCTCTGAAAATTTATCAATTAAAACAAAGCAAAAGAATTGGAGAATATTAGGGCTGGTTCATTTAGTCCATCTTGGTCAGTGCAAAAGTAATAAAATAAGGCCTGAGAATTAAAGCAGTGTGTTCAAAATCCTCAAGCTACAACAAGCACTGTGGTTTTCTGACTTGTAAACACGGCTCTCTAATACGAGATACTATCCAGGACCTAAGATGATGGTAATAATAAGCTCACTCTTAAACTTGCTCACATATGGTCTAAGGATAGGCAGTACATTTTATATCAGTGTTAGAAACCTACCCTGGCAAAATTACAAGCAAATCAGAGAGGCTGATTTGGAAACACCCATATTCATCTCTCTGAAAACAAAAATAAATCTGTACATGGCACAAAAAGATTCTAAACTTAAAATATAGAAATATAACCACCTCTACTTGTTTCAACTGCCTGCAGATATACTACTATTGATATCTAGGTAATTCTTATTTGCTCAATTACATTTCACTACCTTGTGAATCCAATCACGTTAAATCAAGACCTGATTAAATAGATTTTGAAAAAAGGACACAGTCCATATTTATATGTGGAATTTACAAATAAAACTGTCCAAGGAAATGATGATAAACAACCTCTAAAATATCAAAAACATTTCTTATTAATATATATTAGGACAAGTTTTACGTTTTAAAACCTAAAACCATTTGAAAATCACATTCTTTAAAGGGTAACTGTGCCATATGTTCTGTATACTAAGTCATGGCTAACTTCATTATGAGTAGAATGAAAAGTATCTAAATTCAGGATCAGAAAGAACTTGAAAGAAAGAGCAAAGTACTTTATTTAGTTATTTACTTATTTTGGTTGAAAGAGGATGGCATTTCAAAAGGTATGATGATGAAAAAGAAATCACTCATACATTTTCTTGTATCAGTTCTCTGTGAGAATCAAGAAACTTTTGTAGGGATATAATGAATACATCATAAAGGAATTTGTGATGAACAAAAATTGAAAGATAAAATTGACAGAACCTAGTCCATGGATGATATAAAATAAATGACAGAAAAGCTAAAAAAGTGGTAATAGTCCACACACATGGATCTGGGACACATTCAAAGAAGAAAAGACTCTCAATTGTAATTATAACTTTTGAATTATATAGCACCTGTTTAATCTATATGGCAAACATGAAAGCGGCCTTTAAGTCCAATCAATTTTTAAATGCTTAATTGAAAATCATTAAAGAGGTTTAAAATTCTTCGTTTATTCCTTATTTCCTTGGAGAAATCACAAGGTCAATGCAGGGTAGAGAAACCATCCTCTACACTGTTTGAGCATTGTAGGTATCTCTACCTTGATGAGAGAAGTACAGTGTCAGCAGGTATATACTCTTTGCCTTTTATTATAACTATATCTCCAACATTTACCTGAAAGAAAACTGGGAATTGGTTAATTATCTGCATGGAAAGATAGTTACAAATACATAATCCATTGTATTAAAACAAATACTACAGAAAAAAAAATGACTATTGGCAGATAAGAACTACTGATCTTCACAAAATGGCATAAAATCATCTAAGAGTGAGGCCAGGAATCAGGGAATACTTTAAGAGATGAATGCTGCATCTTTGTTTTATTAGCGCTGTACAATTTAAGAAAATCAACCAGTCCCATCTATCTAAGAGACATCTCAACTTCTCGTAGTCTTTTTTCTTTGACATAAAAATAAAAAAGAAGATTTCATCAAATGAAATCTTGATGCTATTTAAGGAAGTTTCAACACAACTGGAGAGAACATTATAAATGTGATCATTACTTTTCACAATGACCTTTAAAAGCAAGTATTAATTGTAATATGTAATTTAGAAAGGAAGAAAATAAGTTTGAGATTCTAAGCTATTTGCTCAGGATTGGTAGGTGGAGAAGCTTAGACACACTCCTATCTGACTTGACTTTTGTGTAAGTAAATTTGCAGAAACTATCACCGTAATTCAAATTAAAAATACAGATTCTTAAATTTTACAACCATTAGCATTTTTCTGAACATGACATGAAGAGAAACTAAACGTGCACTATAGTCAGAAACAGAAGAAATCTAAGTGTCAGGCTTATCACAAAGCTTCTACGAAATGACTAAGAAACAATGTGGCTTATTAATTAAAGTGACCAAAGTCACTGGTGGCACTTCCATTCATCGAGAATGTTGTTCTCTCTCTCCCCCCCCACCTTTTTTTTTTTTTTTTTTTTTTTTTTTAC